GCAGCTATTGTAAACTACTGGCCCCGTCCACCTGCAAGCAAATAAATAAAAGTTAGCGCGGGATAAATTAAAAGACTAAACTAGAGTATAAGTGTCAAAACAACAATGAATGTAGGCTAGTATTGAAGCAAAGCTGGCAAAATAAGATGCTGATGCTAGTGTCAAAATAGTGAAGTGTGTAAAGCTATGCCATCGCTAAACTAAACTTATAAGTCACTTCTAATATAAGTAATGAATCCTACTTGTAACTATTTCACTAAACAAATCTAGTATGTGAAGTGATGGGCACCTGAGATTAATCCGACAACTTCTAACAGAGGTCGTAAGTCCGACTTTAACTAACACGCTAGGGAAATCCCTAGTTAAAAAAGTGACTTAACCCCTAATCCTTTATAAACTCTTGATCATTTTTAATAAAAGTTGTTAAGTCCCACCTCAATTAGGGTGTTGGGGAAAACTTTCCCAAGACAAACAATTCATCTCTAATAACTCGGGCTACCTTTAATAGAGTTCATAAGACCCGCTACACCGGCTTACTTCCAAGCGAAGCCATAAGACCCACTCGTACCCAAAACCTTTGGGTTACTTCCAAAACGAAGCAGTAAGACCCATTTTGAACCCATACACGGGCCACCTCTAATAGAGACCGTAAGACCCTCTATACGGGCTATTTCCAAGAGAAGCAATAAAACCCGCTATGCGGGCTACTTTTAATGAAAGTTGTAGTCCCCGACCCCAAATCCAAACATACGAGAAAATCCTAATTGGAGCCGTAAACCCCAAACTAAACAAATTAACTGGGAATCTAGGGTTAAAATACTTGCACATTTCTACACTTGTTGCACAACTAAAAAGGCCTTTCATTCTTAATCAAGAGTACTATTCTACGCATTAGGATGTGTAATTAACTATGAGGGCTTGCACTCATAGAAGGACCTAGATCTAAATAAATCCTGATACTTCCCTGAAGGGAAATCTGATTAAATTCAAAATTCAATATGGCCTAAAGGGAGAGCGGAATTCCATGGTGATGCAGGACTACGTAGATGGAATGCACTTTAACTCATATGTATTTGGCACAACTTATGAGTAGAATAATTTTAGAACAAAACCACTAGCAAATTCAAACGATGAATCAAAACAATTAGTGGTTATCCGCTTAGGCTAAATCACATGGTGAGAGCTTTGAAAACTTTCAAAATAAATAGGAAAACAACACAACAAATAGTAGTAGCTTTCAAAATAATCCCTAGTTTAACAATGAGTATTAGATAGCATAGAGGTGCACTCAAATCCTATGTTTACTAAGCTTAAACAAGAGCAATGCGGAGGAGTCCGTCGTGACTGCAATCAAGTCAAGAGGAGTTAGACTAGATAAGGTAAGATGCAAGGAGGAAGAGAAACCTTCGTCAATGAGACGTGGAGATCCTCCACTTGATGCCTTCGAAGTTTTTGTCGATAGCTTCCACCAAAGTATCTAGGATCCGCTCTAAGTAGTCTTCAACGGTGTGGTCGATTCTCGGGTTCACGTCGAAGAAGGTTGATCGTAGGATGTCGGTGAAGCCGTCTTCGTCCCACGTCAATCCGTATTCAGTTTTCGGATCCGCCATTCATGGGTGCTGGATGATAAATCTCCTCTTTGCTAGGGTTCTTGAAGATGATTGAAGAGAAAGAAGTTTCTCTTCCTATCGCAAGAGAAGGGAGCCAACACCAAAAATCTGAAATTTGTTTCAGATTTTGTGAAAGAGGAAAGCTTATTTGAGAGAGAGGAGATTTGAGAGAAAGGGAGAGAGATGGAGGGGTGGCAAGAGGAAAAGGGGAAAGAGGGGGGCGGCGGGTAGATGAGGGGTGGGGATTTGATTTCCCAAATCAAATTCCTAGATTAGGAAATCAATTCAGGAAATATGGGAGAGGGAATTTCGGCTAAGAGGAGTTGGAGGGATTTAAAATTATTTCCTAAAGCAATGAGGGGAGATTAGAAAATAATTAATAAATCAAGCCAATAGGGAATGAGAGGGGCCGACGGCATCCATAGGGAGAGGGGTGGGTTTAATGCAATCAATTGAGGTTGCTTAATTTGGGATTTGGGATTTAGGAAAGAAATAATTAAATCCAATTTGAATTTGAATTTCAAATAGGATCAATCTAAAAACTTTCCTAAAATAGATTTGTTATTTTAGACAAGATTTTGAATTGCAAATAGACAACTTTGAATTCAAAAATCTGTCCCAAAATATCCAATCCTAATTAGGCAATGGAAGTGAATGGAGAGGAGGGAGTGGGGAGACCCAGAGAGGAGGGAGTGGGGAGACCGGCGATGGGACTACTGGGGTCGGCGGGATGGGGGTTCAGGTGGGATGCATTGGCCGTGAGGTTAGGGAGAAGGGGATGGGGTTTCAAACGTAGAGGAATCCAGCGACTAAGTGGGGTTGGAACAAAAGAGGGAGAAGAAACAAAAGGGAAGAGGGAAAACAAGATAATCGAAAGAAACCACGAACTCGACTTAGTTAGTTGGTGGGTGTTGCGCAAATCTCCCTCGCCTAGGGATCTCTCTCCATTAGAACTCTCAAGCTCTCTCAAACTCTTCCAAGAAGAAATATTCATAAGCAATCATTCATTAATTAATAAGATGAAAGAAGAGGCTTATAAATAGCCGGGTACAATGACTTAATGAAAATAAAAGACACTCTTGCCCTTTGGGCTTATATACGACGCTTCCCATTAAAGGGGTGCAAATGAAAAATATAAAGACGCTTAATAAATAAAATGCATGAATAATAAAATAACACAAATGATTCAAAAATATAAAGACTCGATCGTGGCCGTAGATCGGCGGCCACGTCTCTGATAAACCTTCCACGATCTTATGTCCCCATCACATGGCTGTGAAGCAAGATTCGTTCATGTCTACAGCGCATCATTCCTTTCTTGAGAAAGCACTCATGTTTTGTATTGCAAATACATATTAGTGTAGAAAACACTTTCTTAATTTTTCATTTAATTAAAATTTAGAATATAAATGGTGTTAGTTTCTTTCTTTGTTTCATCCTTCTATTGTAAAAAAAATGGACTGTGAACTTTGCTTATTAACTTTTGTTGGAAGTTTTCTTCATCTTTAGTCTCGTATTACTGCTTTTTAATGTTATGACATGAGGGCTCTCAAATATCTCCTTAATTATTTTAAATACTCAATAAATCTATTTAATTTGAGCAATTAATTAATCAATTACAACCTGATTTATCTTACTTTCTTAGTTATTATTTATTTTAATGATTTTACTGGTATAACGTTATCTGGCTTTCTGTATTCACACAGTCAGGACAGGTTTATACAACGACAATAACACAATGGAGGTCTTAAATCTTGGGGAATAAGAATCAAAATCAGCCATAAACATGAAAGACAATAATAGCAAGCTGAATAAGAAATATCCAAATTTATTTCTTGCAAAATAGGAATTTTGATGTGAAACTACTAGGAGTTACGATTAGAAATTAAAAGAGAATTGTTTTAAGTTTTGCTCTTATAAGTTTATTTTGATCATTCAAGAGAGAGTTAAGAATTTGAAAATTTTAACTTATTTAGGCCAAAGATTAGCAATAGAGAATAACCGAGACTATCCTTTCAAAAAACACAGTAATTTTAAACGCAAAGTACATGTAACATAATCCAACACTTAACAATGAGAGGTTCACCTCGAGGTCTTCTCACTCAACTACTTGTAGGCTTTAGTGGAGAAAGGTGAGCCAAATGATGAAAGATATTACCACTACAAAGATGGCGCCGAAGAACTTTGTTGGTGGAGAGGTCGCCGGCGGAGATGGATGTAGTGGGTGGCCGTCGAGACTCCAATCGTAATTTGAAAATCGTCAGTCGATGATGCTTGCAAGGATCGGGACGACTCACTCCAAATATTCTTCCACGGTGGTGTCGTCTTCAAATCCCACGTCAAAGCATGGAGATTTTAGGATGTTGATGCTTCCGCCGGCGTTGAATACAAGACCCCACTCAAGCTCCGGATCCGTCATGCATGCTTGATGTTTGGGAATAATCCCAATATGAAAAGGGGAATGGGGGTGAAGAGGTGAGAGCAAGTGTGGTGTGCGAAGGCGGAGGAGGAGAGGAGGGGAGGCGGCAGGATTTCTGCAGAGAGAGGTGAGGCCGGCAGGTACAAGGGAGGAGGCTAGGGTTTGGCAAAATTTGGTTTTGGAAATTATGGAAGGGATTACTCAAATCTGAAATTTAATTTCAGTTTTGAGTAATTTAGGAGGGAATTGACTTGAAATTTGAATTTCAAATCAATGGGAATTAATGCTTTGATTAGGGAATTAATGGGGAACTTAATAGGGGGGAGGCCGGCGGTTTCAAGAGAGGAGAGGGAGGAGTTTTGCAAACAAATCCTGAAATAAATTTCATGATTTGAAATTTCGGGAGGGAGTTTTATTTGAAATTAAAATCTTCCAATGACTGGCGGGTATTGCTTTTCACCCTCACCTTCGGCTCTCGTTCTCCTCTCTAGCTCTCCACAAGAAGAAGTAGAAAAAGATAACAAACTAAATTTCATTCAAAATATTCATTAACCTCATACAACACATGAGACCACTATATATAGGCCTCAACTCATAAAAAAAAGTACGAAATTGCCCTCTGGGCTACAATAACAAAGCAACTCCCCTCAGGGGTACAAATGGAAAAACTGAAAATACTAAATAATACATCATGACATCAGAATCAAAAGTGGAGGCGCTGAATCGAGGCCGTCGATCTGCGGTTTCGCCGGCGATAAACATGTCGGTAGCGTCTGTCGATGTCCTCATCAAATTTTATGTCATGTTTTGCACTTGGGATTCAATTCCCATATTTCTCACAAATAATAAACGACAATGTCATCTCAGGACACAGATGAATATGTTAACAGTATATTAGGAAATAACTTGTTACTCTTTTTCAATTTTTTTCATGCACTGCTTATAAATGTCATTTTGTTTTGCTGTGTCAGATCTCAAGCTGAAAGACATGATTGCTGTAGAGAGCTATCAAAAGCATAATAAACTATTGCAAAAGATGGCTGAGAACAAGTGTCATGGATGCATTAAGTTGAAGGAGCACCTTTTGTTGCTGAAGGAGCAAAATAAACTCATGGAAGAAGTCAACGCTTTGAAATTCCAAATGTCAGATGAAGCACTGCAGCAGATGCCAGATTTTCAGGGCCGAGTATGGTTTTCTATTATAAATGAATGTGGGAATCAAACTAAGTGCGTTGTACCAATCCAAAACTGAATTCAACAGCATGAGCTGTTTTGACAATCACAATTCTTAATAAACCCTAAAAAAAAATCAATGCCCGCGTTACTTAAATCAGTTTGATTAGGACATAGATCTTATAAGCTCTTCCTTTTACTTCATTGGCATTTTTTCTAACTTGTTTGATTGTTGATATAGGCTTACGTGACTATTAAATATTACTCATACATCTTTTTTTGTTCTTGTAGATTGATGTATTGAAGGAAATTCATTGCATTGATTCTGATCTAGTTGTCCAAATCAAAGGGCGGGTGGCTTGTGAGATGAACTCTGGGGATGAATTGATATGCACGGAGTGCTTGTTTGAGAATCAATTCGATGACCTGGAACCCGAAGAAGCTGTAGCAATTATGTCTGCTTTTGTTTTCCAGCAGAAGAATACTTCTGAACCAACTCTTACTCCTAAACTTGCTCAGGCGAAGAAGAGGTGATATTTAAGCATCTTTTTTTTTTTCCTTATTTTTTGTTGATAAACTCAATGGAGTCGATTATAGTGATTTATTTTGAAAAATTATTCTTTATAAACTGTGCGATCTTGTTCTTATGTATTATAATCTTTGAGCATTTGAATGAGTTTGTGATGGTGAGCGGGTTAATGGAGATCTTGATGGAGTTTTGATATCTTCATTGTTGAAAAGAGGAGAATATATAGTGTAAAGGAAAAACCGAGAAGGTAAAGAGAGGAGAGATTTAGCAGATGAGAGGAATGAATGTGTATGGGGACTGGGGAGGGAAATAGGAGATAGAATGAAAGAAGAGAGCTTTATGGTAAGAAAGAGGGAGAAATCAATCCCTTGAGGGAATGCCTGGTGAAAGCTCCTTTATTATTCAATTCATGGCCAACCATTTTCAATTATTACGTGGCTAATATTTATCCACATATATTTGAACAATGAGTATATTATCTCCAATTTTTTTAATAAATAGGGTAGTATCTACCGTCCATTAACAAATGATTTTTCTAATAAAAAATTGTTAAGTCTATCATATCATGCCCTATGTGCTTAGTTAAGCTCATACAATGTTTTCTTAAGTTTATGGATATGATTTGGAAATGGTGAGTTCTCAAAACCTGTAGATTGTTAGATATTTTCTTTAATTACTTCATTTAAAAAGGCTCTTCACATCCATCTGCTACAATTTAAAATCCTTAAAACATGCAAATGCTAACAGTGCCATGATGGCTTTTAATTTAGCTATTGGGACAAATGTCTCTCCAAAATATATCCTTTCTATTTAATTTTACCTCTTAGCTATAAATCTACCTTTATTCCTAGCAACTGATTCAAAGTCATTTAATTTATTTTTAAAAACTCATTTAGTTTCAACAACACGAAACTGCTCACTAATTCTAACACACCATTCCTAACAAATTGATATAATTTTTCTTGCATCGCAATAATCTAAAATTCTTCTAAGGCCTGTTCTACACTAGTGGGCTCTATCATAGAGATGAAAGCGAAGTGGCTAACTTCCTTCTTAAGACCTTGTGATGCGGACATCAGACCCTTAATATTCCCTCAGGGACGTGGCCGATGATCGACGGCTATGATGACGCCTTTTTTATTTCAATTGTATGTGATGTATTTATTTATTTTCTGTCTTTTTCCATTTACGCTCTTGCTTAAGGGATTAGTTCTTTGTAAGCCCCGAGGGCATTGTTGTCTTTTATTTTTCCCTTTTTGTATTTGTCTGTTTAAGTCCCTCCTCTTCGTGGAGAAGGGCTGATAATGATTATTATGAAAGTTTCTACCTTTTTGCTCTTGTGAGAGTTGAGAGTTCTTGGAGAGAACTTGGAGAAAGTCCCTTGGTGAAGGGCAAAAGCAATACCCACCAGTCGCCAGAATCGTCCTGGGCTCGTGGTCCGACTCTTTCCCTTGCTACCATCGCCGGCCCTCCTTCATTTTCCCTAGCCGTAAGTCATCTCCTCTCTAGCTCCACACGCCAGCCACCCACCAACCCTCTCCCTCCCACCGTCCACCACCCTTTTCTCCAAATCAGCCGCCGGCCCTCCCACCTCCTTGCCGCCGACCACCTTGGCCTCCCACCACTAATGATGATTTCCATCATCATTACATCTTGCCAAAAATTTACTCAAATAATTTAGGAGAACTTTTAATTTGAAATTGAAATTTGAATTTTAAATAATTTCCTAAATTGACTTAACCTTTTCGGGAAAGCTTTCAAATCCTATCACCCAATCATTTTTGAAATTCAAATTGTTTCCTAAAATGAAATTCTATTTTAGGAAACTTCTCCAATCAAATCCAAATCAAATTTGAATTGGATTGGATTTACTTCTTCCCTCCTTAATTGGAATTCCCAAAGAAGCAAGCATTAAAACCCTTCCCCTAATCCCTCCCCTCCTTTAAATGCTGCCGGCTCCCATGCCCTCTTCTCTTTAATTTCCTTTCAAGCTTGGAGTAGGGAGATTGAGAGGGAAACAATTCAAATTTTGAATTCAAATCTTAGATTTGAAACCTTTCCTATTTGACATGATCTATAATTGGAGAGTTTTAACTCTTCAATTCAAAATTAAATTAAGAGGGGCCATGAGTCATCAATTCCTCCTAATTTGATTGCTTTCAATAAGGAAACAATTGACACAAATTTTTTCTTCCAGCTGAAACCTGCAAGGCTCACATCAGTAATTTGTTCCCAAAATTCAGCCTACCCTCAATTGGAAATAATTCCAAATCTTGGTCCCACTTGTCCGCCACTTGCCCAGTAGTTTTTGTGAAGATTATTCCTCTCATTTCCTGAGAAATATCATCCCTGTCTAGTGTTTCTGGATCCCAAGCTGCTGCCAGAGTTTTTCCTGCACCAGTCCCTAGTATTCCGGCAACTCGAGGGCTCACAATCTGCTGTCCAGGAAATACAGCTGGCTGCCCCTCATTTCCCACCAGCCCCTATTACTGCAGCACCTTCGGGACAGCTTTACCTTGCTGTCCAACTGATCGGATAAGTCCCCATTCACTGCCTGAGACTTTTTTGGCATGGATTGTGCTGTCCTGAGAAAACCTGCACCTGTTTCTTGCTGTCCAGCGAGTGGAAGGTCTTCAACGCTGTCCGACGAATCAGATTGCTGAACACACCTTCAAGAAGGTTCGTGGATGCCACCTACCTCCTTCCAAGCCTTCCTATGACCACCGGGAGCTTTGTATATTTCGTACTCGGGTAAACTCGACCTCCGACTCTTTTAGCCCTTAGTTTATTTCTCCAACGTGGTTATATTTGATTCAAAGATGTTGTTGGTCCCTCCGCTAATGCTCTAATAAGAGTTGAGTGAAGGTTTCCTTGTAGTAGCTAGTCTTAATGTAACAAAGGGATTATTTTGAGACATTCACGGTATGCAAAAGTAGATAAATTGATTGATTTATGCTCTTAACTTCTATGCACGTAATTAACATTATGCAATGCTATTATCACTTTAATATTTTTTTCGTTTCAAATCAACATGAGATCTTGCTTATTATTATCTCTAAATAAACGTGCAAACATCGTTAAGCATCTCATTCCCATGATTGTTCTACATCACCTTGCCTAGTCCTAAACCCTGGGATGAGCTCCAAAGAATATTTTTTTTGGTGACTAAATGTATATCTCCACTCTCTTAGCAACAAATCAAGAGTTCTTCTGTCATCTAATACAAAATTTTAAACTAACGAGTGATGTCTTCCTCTTCATCATCATTAGTCCTAACTTCAGAAATCCTATCAAATTCCTTCAAATGTAAGCATGGGTGGACTTCTCAACAACTAAAGTTCTCTTATTCAATATTCTATAAGTCTAGTTTATGAGGAATAACTAAAAATATTGCTTCATTATTATTTGCATCAAATTTTCTAAATGATATTTTCATTGCTTAATACAAAATACTTACACCAAAAGAAATGCAGATGGGATAAATTAGGTTACAGCCTTAAGAAACTCATAAGATGTCTTATTCAACTTGATTGTAACATAACGGTATCTGTTTACGGCAAGCTAACTCATTCATAATTGTTTACCTTATGGAGCCATTGGACAAACCCCGGTTAAAGGGCATGTGTCATGTCTTTATTGGTCGGGATTGTTGAGAACAATCTTAGTGATATTTTTGGCTGGAAATTCACATCTTTATTATTGAATTCTCCCTTGTCAAATAATTGTGGTGTGGTGAATTTTTATTATTGCTTTAATGATTAAATTTCATTTTAAACGTTTGAATTTTGATGTTTTTGAATTTAGAATCTTGATAGAATTTGAGAATGACCCCTCCAGTTGAGATTAATTTTAACTCGGTCATCATCAGCGTGACCAGATCAGTGGAGAATGAGTGTGTTAATCCATTATTTTAAGAATAAAATGCAACAGGAGTGCGAATTATAGAGGAATTAAGTTAATGGTCATACTTTAAAACTTGGGCGGTTATAGAGCATAGGTTGAGGCGTGATACTAATGTTTCTCAAAATCAATTTGATTCATGCCGGGCTGGTTACCTTAGAAGCCATACCATTTATTGAGAGGTTTGATGGAGAAATAAGAGAAGAATAAGGAGGATCTACATATGATATTTATTGATTTAGAGAAAAGCATATGATAAAGTTCCAAGAGATGTGCTATGGAGAGTTCTTGAAAAAAGGAGTTAATAATGCTTATATTCAAATCATAAAGATAATGCACTGAGCTATTAATGTGTTCAAACAAGGTGGTTTGACCAAGTATTTTCCTATTTCGGTTGGATTACATCAAGGTGGCTCGTAAGGATTCAAGAAAGCAATAGTGTGCAAAGACATTAGCTTTTAGCGCATTTATATAATAGATTAAATGCTAGGAGGGAGAAAGATATAGTATAAAGTTAGCCACAAAGAGATAGGATAGTAAGGATTTAGTTCAAGTGAATTGTATTAAGGATGAAATCAAAATATTTTCTTAGAAGATGATATTCAACAAAGGTGGATGAATTATTGCTAAACTTTTTAATTGAAGAGTGTGAAAATAAGGATTGAACTATAGTGACCTTAGCACCCAATGAAAGTAAAGTTTCTGTTTTATCGCGTATTAGTAAAACTGAAGTATAGAGAGGCTTTAAAATAGAATGAAGGGTGGAAAGCTGTTGGCCTGATGATATTCCAATAGAGGTGTGGAATGTCTTAGGAGATGAAGGATTTCTTGCTTACTAAACTTTTTTAGATACTTTGAAGACTAAAGAAAAGATCCAGATGAGTGGAGAAATGAGTGTATTATTCCTATTTTTTCAGAATAAAGGTGATGCACGAGATGCACTGAATTATAGAGGTATTAGTTAATGTGTCATACTTAAAATTTATGGGAGCGAGTTATAGAGCATAGTTGCGGCGTGATACTAATGTCTTCTCAAATCAATTTGGATTCATGCCGGGAGGTCGACTATGGAAGCCATACATTAATTAAGAGGTTGAATGGAAAAATATAGAGGAAATAAGGAGGATCCTACATATGATATTATTTTGATTTAGAAAAAGCATATGATAAAGTTCCAAAGAAAGTGCTATGGAGAGTTCTTGATAAGAAAGGAGTCATATAAAGCTTATATTCAAATCATAAAGATTATGTATGCAAGGAGCTATTACTTGTGTTCAAACACCAAGGGTGTTGACCAAGTATTCCCTATTTCGTTTTGGGTATCAAGGATCAGCCTTAAAGCCATACTTTTTGCTTAGTCATGGATGTTCTCATATAACATTCAAGATGATGTACCTTGGTGTATGCTTTTTTGCTGATGATATTCTTCTTGTTGATAAGACTAGAGAGGAGTTGAAGTAAACTTGATATGGAGGTCAACCTTAGAGTCTAAAGGTTTTTGCTTGAGTAGATCTAAAACGGAATATATGTGAGTGTAATTTAGTAGTAAAGTCCTAGTGAGGGATTGTGACTTTGGAGGCGATCAAGTCATTAATAAGAGTACACGTTTTAGATACTTGATCTTATTGTTCAGAGTGATGGTGAAATAGATGGGATATTATTCAGCAGATTCAAGTTGGATGGTTGAAGTGGCGGAATGCAATCGGGCTTTTTGTGATCGAAATGTACCCCTCAAACTTAAGGGAAAATTCTATAAGATGGTAGTGAGGCCTGCAATGCTTTATGGTGCCGAATGTTGGCCATTAAAGAGAATGGAAATAACTAAGCTTAAGTGTGGCAGAGATGAGTGCTTAAATGGATAGAGCTGTAACCCTTAGAGATAGATACTAAAGAGCAATAACGTGAAAAGGTGTGATAGCTCCAGTAGAAGGATAAGATTAGAGAGAGTCTTCCTAGAATGGTTTGGTCCAGCATAAGAATGGCGGCCTTCCATGACCGGTAGGAGAGTAGCAGTATTAGATTGACTGTTGTTTAAGAAGAGGTAGGGTAGACCTAAAAAGAGCTTGTTAGAAAATATTAGAAATTATCTTTCTTTATTAGATTTAGATGAGAATTTGACTTTTAACCGGACACAATGGCGAAAAAGGATTCATGTAGCCGACCCCATGTAGTGGGACAAAGGCTTGATGTTGTTGTTGTCATCATCAAAGTGATGTTAATGTCACTTTAAATATATTTGATTTTTTATCAATTTTGGATTCATTCAAAAGATAGAGTTATCACTGATTGAGATTCAAATTCAACACGGTCATCATTAGGAATTTAAATAATTCATAATTTTATTATTTAATCTTTGTCAACTTTTTTTTGTTTGCTAACAAAGAATTGGGTTCAAATATCAATTTTATGAATTCGTTATACAAACATTGCAATTAAGAGCTTACATTTGAATGATGAATTTCCTTTAAAAAGGCTTTGAAGGCCTTTCATGAACTTAAAATCAAATATTGCTATGCGTTTTATGATGTGCATTATCCATGCGGAGAGAGTAGACTGATGGTGCAATCGATTTTGGAGTACTCCTCCGAAAGAGTAGCCTAGGCTAGTCTAATGCCATGAGGATCACTCGTTTCCATAGAACTAGCTCATTGGCAGTAGCTATCTGCGATCAAATCCATTCGCCTATTGCAGTCATCTTCAATCCAGGTACAAGAAGCATATAACTCTAAAGCCCGTGAGTTCAATCTCACTGATTAAACTCGTACCTGGCTCCATCACTTTTGCCCTGGGGACTCGACTCTCGTTCTTAAGAACTCGACTTTCACGGATTCGCCCTATGAGCCAGATTTTGAAGACTTGTCCAAGGTATTTGCATGAGAAGAGGCTATGTCAGAAGCAGGGATGTACATATACATCATCTAGTCAATTCATGTGTCTGTGTTTCTGTCTGCTTGTATTAATCACTTCATGTATTATTTTTATAATTTTATTTTAGGTGTATCATTTCTTGTTGCCATCTTAATCCTATAGATAAAGGATGAAAAGACATATTTTGAATCTTCATTCTATTGGGGATATTTATAGGTATATTATATATTTCCATTGGCTCTTCATACTCACTAATTTCTCCTTTGGCTTTCTTGCTCTAACCCACAAATAACTTGCTAGTTGAGTCAAGTGAAATCTTGGGATAAAATTTGAATCCTACACCAAGCCTTTGTTTGGCTACAACTTTTTTCCTACTCTTCAAAAATTTTAGTAGTGAATTTTAGCAATCAAATCTGCAAGAGAGTCATACCCACAACTTTACAAAGACAACAGCAGACCTTTATCCCACTAAGTTGGGTCTGCTATAAAAATATATATATTTTTAATACAAGCTAACCAAGTCTTTTTAGTTCTACCTCCCATCAACTTAAAAAAAAAATTAAAAAAAAACTACCCTAAACAGACCGTACTCTTTGTGGCTGTTCCATTAGCTTATTTATAAACTGTTCTATTTCAGCGTAGATTTATTTTCTCATCATGATAATATCATTCTTATGTTGAAATGCAGATTGTGGGACACGGCAATCAAACTTGGGGAACTCCAAGCCCAGTTCAAATTGGCCGTTTATCCTGATGAGTATGCCAAAGAAAACCTCAAATTTGGCCTTGTTGAAGTTGTTTACGAATGGGCAAAGGTGGTCATATCTTTCGTTTAAACCTGTTTTAGGTTTCGTTTGGGACGGCTTTCTTACTGCTTCTAAAAGCAGCTTTTTAGTACAAAATTTTAATTTTTTGTACTATAAAGCTGCTTTAAGAAGCAATAAAAAGCCGTCCCAAACGAAGCCTTAATTATATAAATGTGTTTAGTATCTCAAATCGTAGCTGTGATTCATTGCAGGGAACTTCATTTGCTGATATTTGTGCGCTTACTGATGTTCCAGAAGGTCTGATTGTAAGAACCATTGTTCGATTGGATGAAACTTGCCGTGAGTTCAAGAACGCAGCCTCAATTATGGGCAACTCTGCTCTACATAAAAAGATGGAGACTGCATCTGATGCTATCAAGCGCGATATTGTCTTTGCTGCTAGCTTGTACGTTACAGGCGTTTGATTTTTTTTTTTGCTTTCTAGTAGCGATTCTGTATTATTTTTAGTTCATTAGCAATTGTTGTATGTTGTATTAGCTAATAGTTTGGAACTCCTTTGTCCGGCTAAAACTAATTGCAAATTTTTGATAGAAGGATGATAAATCTACTGTACAGAAAATGGGACTTGCTTATCTAAGTACTTTTTTAGTAAAAAAATTTTGAATTATTTATTTTTATATGAAAATATTATTTAAAAAAGCTGAGTTATGCTAATATATCTATTCTTTTCAGATCAATGTGAGGATTCTTATTTTTCTTGCTTCTTATTTATTTGAAGTTCTATATTATTTGAAATTTCTTAAATAATTTAGTTATCAAATTCATCAAAGTTATTTATCAAGCCTATCTGAGTTTCATCAACTAAGAGCTAGAAACAAAAAAAAAATTGGAAGTTCAATGACTTGGACTAGGGGTGTAAGAGAGTTGAGCTGGCTTGTGAGTTAGCTTGAGCTCAACTCGTTTATGAGCTTGCATGTTGAGTTTATTGAGCTCATGAGTCGAGCTAAAGCTCAAACTAGAGCTTGTTTAATAAATGAGCTTGAGTTTGAGCTTAAGCCGGCTTTGCTCATGAGTTTGCAAGCCGGGTCGTTAATTATTTATTTGATTAAAATAATATATTATATATTTGATTAAAATAATATATTATATTTATTATAATATATGTTAATACATACATTTGAGCCAAACGATGTGTTATTTCATTCATTCTCTTGGGAGTTGGGATGGACGCACTTGCTATTAATTAAAGTAATTATTAAATGTATTATAATGTATGATAATGAATGCATTTAGATGCTCATTAATAGTCAGCTCATAATACTTAATACCTCATTTCAAGTGACAGTGGAACACAGGCACGAAAATGTGAAACTGAATTGAGCGGCTCGCAAATTCGAACTCGATTTTAATGGGGTGATCTTGATTTTGAACTTGTCTTTTGAGATCAACTAGAACACGTTTTCCGACTAATGAGCTGAGCTCGATAGTCTAAAACTCTACTAGACTCATGTACACCCCTAATTTGAACCATTCTTTTGCAACCTTTTCATCCACCAAATCACTTTCTTATTTTCTGTAGCAAAGCTAATCCGAAAGGAAATTCTCTTGGAGGAACTGAGTTGCATATTCTATATGCTTATCTGAGCAAATGAAAGATAACTTTGATGCCCAAGTGTTCGTCTGGGATGAGTAAAATAAATAGAAATTGTTTGTATTATAAATATTTTTCCATGGAAAAAAATAACGTCACTTACAGTTCAATGTACATTTACTATAAATTTTACAAAAAAAAAAAAAATTCAAACAAAATGCAAAAAATAACAATCAGGAAATGAATTTCTCCTTTAAAAACACGCCCGTTGATAAAGCTTTCATCAATCAGGCATTGCCATTACCCAGCTCATAGTATTGAATGTTTGCGAGCTTAAAGCTGCGTTTTCCTAAATGTGGACCTCTAAAAGCATCCAACTTGCTACTGATCAAGCCAACAATTCGAAATCCCTGCTTATGCAACTGCAGCCTTCTGTTGGAGAGATATTCCCAATCTTCCATTTGAATCTCCTCATCAGATCTGAAAAATTATGATGAAAGCTTCTTAATCAAGATATATACAAAACTTTTAAGCATATTGGTCATGATTTTGGCAGTATAAGAAGGAAAGATAAATGAGAAAAGTACACCGAGTGTTAGTCAAACGAGAAATTATTCTGTGCGAAGACCGGACGTAGAACATCATTCAGAGACCAACCAGAATACGTCACAATAGCAGTACCGAGCGAAGGGTGATGTGGCGCATTCTGGTTGGTCTTCGGACGGCGTTTGACGTCCACACAGAATAATTAATGCAGTCAAATACGGGAGCAACTCTATTTTATGTTTTACATGTTATAAATAATTGGGATAAGACTAATGATGATGAACAATAAAAACTAACTTTTAAAATGTTAATGGAGGAATTGAGGAAAAGAGAATTTTAAGCATGGATAGGCCATATGAATTACATGAGAAACATGGGATAAAAAATCCAGCATCCCCACATGAGCAGATTCATTTGAGTTTGATGACAATAATCACATTTTGAAAGGAATTTTTTCAATCTTACTTCTAGCAGTCTTAACCCTAAAAACTCAAAAAGCCTTGGAGTTCAAAATTACCTCATCACCAGTGAAGACCATCCTAAATAACCAGAAGATGTAAGGGTGCTCTCCGTAGTCTTCCAGTGCTTTGAAGGCTTCCTAGTAAAAAGAAACAAAGACCAGCCACCTGCTCGAAGTTGCCTGTAAAATCTAACAAGAAGAATGTGGGCCTGATTCTTTATGTCTTCTATATGCTCGTTCCTGACAATTAAACACTCTTATAAAGACAAATGTAGATGACAAAGAAAGTAATATCAAGACATTATTCAAATTACAGGTTTATATATCATTTACCTATCTACAGAGCTGATCCTACTAAAGTTGCCAATCATGGAAAGTAAGTCATCTGCATCTAACAATATTATATCCAAACCATCTTCATCTGGTGTTAGTCCAGCAAAGTAGTCCTCTATAAACCAGATTGAGGTATTCAAATCTTTTAGGTAGTGTCTCTTACTATATTGAAGAGCATACAACTTGCAGTTTAATGGAAATTCACCTATTTCCAAGTTGTTTAGCTCAGAATGAAAGATATACAAACTACAATAATCATGTTGATCACTTTTCTTAGCGTGTTCCAAAATTCCAGAATTACTACTACTTTGACAGGAATTTAACATCACAGTGAGTGCAATCAGCAAAGTAAGCATCAAAAGTCCGGTGGTCACAAGTGCGGCGACGAAGATAGTTGCAGTAAATGATGACATGAAGACACCAGATTCCACCACATATTGACTTCCCAATTCTGCAGTGAAGCTTGAAGATCAGAATTTTAAGATGATAACAATGATGCAAAAAAATATACAAGATAAATATAAATTCACAAGGTAAGGTGCCCCAAAACATAACTACTGCAATATAACAATAGCAAAGAGAAATAATGCTATGAGCTAGACACTTGTACCCATATTCCTGGGGAAAATAGCAACCAAAAACTGTAAATGCCTTCAGATAAAAAAACAGGTGTTTATATGGGTATCCGACCAGTGCAATGTTCATTCTGTGTATCAAATCAGAGAATAATTTTAGTAAGAATTCACAAAATGCCTTAGGCCTCGTTTGTTTGGGCTTAATTACGTTTTTTCCGGTTCAATAAGTGGAAAACGGTTACTTTTCTCCTGTTTGTTAACACCGCTTTTCTAAAATACAGTTTCCTAAAACTCCAAATTTCTGCCAATCTGAAATGGGAAAAATTACAGCTTATTCCGTTTAATTAATGAGAAACGAATGAAAAAGTCACATTTAGGTTTGCGTAAGCGTAAAAACAGTACTGTAACCAAACAAGCATCAGTTTTCTTAAATAATCTTTTTAAATTCATTTCTTCAATAATTGCTTCTTTACCAACTTATGCAAAAAGAACTCCAGGATCCAAACGAGCCCTTAATTTTATAACAACATTAGATTCAAATTATAATAGGCTCTTCATGTTTACATCCAGATAGGTTAAGCTTGTTTCAAAAATCACCTAACCTATTCCCTCGCATTATATATAAAAATGACTAGATCCCTTACTATGGTTTCTCTCAGTAAGAACCTAGATTTTCATCCTTATGTTCATTTACAGACTAATTCACCGTTATCTTGCTTCTCTCTCTCCTAAATCTTCATTAAAAAGAGAAACAGAACTGGTAACCAGATGACCATCCCCTAATGCCCACACATCTCAAGGATGGCTGGTGATTAGGATAAAAGGTGCAGAGAAATAAAATTATAGAAATTTAATTACTAGTCAAGGATAAAAATCAAAATCATAATAGAAAATTTTGTTAACAATTAATACAGAATTTTTATATTCACCTGAAAAGATATGATGTTAACTATCTTCATCCTGGTATAAAATAAAATTACCATCATCTTGACTATAATGATTCCCATAACCTCTTGTCAAATATTAAAAAATTCTTAATCACTGGTCAATCATGATGCTTTTTACTCACTTGACAACTGTTAGTCATTAAGATTAATAGCCACGCAGTTTGACTTATATGTTGAGACCAGAAAACTGTTGCTCTGGGCTGTCTGGCATGAGTTACTCTTGTTGGTAATCACACTTACCAGAAGCAAAGAAAATATGATAGACAATACACAAAAAATGTTGCATAAAGTTGGAAAAGAACCTTACTGTCTTACGAGGGAGAAATTATTCTGTGCAGACACCGGATCATCTGGAGACAAATCAGAATGCACTACATCACCCGTTTGATGTGTACCGGTTGGCATGGCGCATTCTAATTCGCCTCTGGACACCGTCCGTATCCGCACATAATAATTTCACCTTAAGAGGAAGCAAAGGTTTCAAATTTTAGGATGAAATTTTCAATAGGCGATCTTATATGCCACTACAAGGATCTACAGATAAGCATTATATTTTGATAATTACTTAGAATTGCATAAGCTCGCACAAGATTTCAGTCAAAGATCACAAAGAATAACCATGATGCCGCATGCTTTCACTTTCAGATCAATTCACAACCATTGTTCATTCAACAAAGAGCTTGAGAAAATAGGTTTTTGTAAGAATCAAAATATAAATATCATACCAGCAAAAAAGAGAAATGTACACAAAAACTTTCAAATATTATGAAGAAAAAAGTATGTTAAACAATACAACAACAACAACATCAAGCCTTTATCCCACTACGTGGGGTCGGCTACATGAATCCTTTTTCCATTGTGTCCTATTAAAGTCAAATTTCTCGTTTAAATCTAATAAAGAAAGGTCATTCCTAATATTTTCTAACCAAGTCTTTTTAGGTCTACCCTACCTTTCTTAACATAAGTCAAATTTAATACCTCTACTCTCCTAACCGGGTCATCCGGAAGGCCGCCGTTTTATGTGACCAAACACTCTAAGGCGACTCTCTCTAATCTTATCTTCTCTGGAGCTACTCCAACCTTTTCACGTATATGCTCATTTCGTATCCTATCTCTAAGGGTAAAGCCACTCATTCACCTGAGCATCCTCATCTCTGCCACACTTAACTTAGTATTATGCTTCTCTTTTAATGGCCAACATCCGGCACCATAAAGCATTGCAGACCTCACTACCATCTTATAGAATTTTCCCTTAAGTTTGAGGGGTACATTTCTATCACATAGCAAGCCGATGCATTTCTCATTTCAACCATCCAACTTGAATTCTGGCTGATAATATCCCCATCTATTTCACCATCACTCTGAACAATAAATCCAAGATATCTAAAACGTGTACTCTTGTTAATGACTTGATCCCCCAAAGTCACAATCCCCTCACTAGGTCTATTACTACTAAAATTACACTCCATATATTATGTTTTAGATCTACTCAAGCAAAAACCTTTAGACTATAAGGTTGACCTCCATTAATTCAAGTTTACCTTCACTCCCTCTCTAGTCTTATCAACAAGAAGAAAATCATCAGCAAAAAGCATACACCAAGGTACATCCTCTGTGTAACCCAACCGAAATAGGGAAATATTTGGTCAATCCACCTTGTGTTTGAACACAAGTAATAGCTCCTGCCTCCTGCATACATATCTTTAATGATTTGAATATTAGCATTATTGACTCCTTTCTTTTCAAGAACTCTCCATAAATAAATTTCTTCATATTTTTTGTAATTTTTCTGAAGTTCATGCCATCACTATCTTCTTCCTAAATTGGCCTTGAACTAATGAGTAGATGCACATTTACAAAGAGATGTACGTTTGAACCAATTTTCTCTGATAAAATTCAATTAAACCAGCCATCTGGGTTTGTTTCAGGTTTTTTAACTGAATTAATTAGAGCACAGCATGAAAGCACTGAGCATCACTGCTAGAAAATTAAAAAAAAAAAAAAAAAAAAAAGCCATATGCCCAGACAAATAGGCCGGTGTTGGATGTTTTACAATTTGAGTAAAAGGAAATTAAAAGAATGGATTGAAAATATTAGATCAATAGCTTTCGATTCATAACCAAAACATCAATAAATTATTGTGATTTCATTTCATTTCGTTCACTTTTCTTCAATCCAAACAAAGTCTTCATGGAAAAGAAACGGAAGGCTTCATACCAGATTGTCTTTGACTCAAAAGACTCTGGCTGGAGTCTCCAGAGTCAGCTGAATGAGGGAATGAAGACATGGAATCAATCAAACTTTGCCACTAATATCTGAGAAAAATCAAAATTAATCCAAATTCCTCTTGCAGAAGGTAGATTTCTCAATACGAAACATCAACCATCTTCCATCCTACTTTGCCTGCATCAGATTTGGAAGGAAAAATAAAAATAAAAACTTTGGTTGGGGATTCAAAACCAATCAAACAGAATAACAAGAAAATGATCAAATTGCGCAGCCATCGAATTACTTGATCCAAAACACCATTTTCCGTAAAAAAAGTTAGAATGTCGGCAAAAGCCCCAATACTATATCGATTTAAGAACGAACAAATTGTCCAATAATAATCTAACAACTCAGAACATCGAAATCAAAGACACAGAACCAGAGTGGGAACGAAGCAAACCGTAAGAGAAGTCGTTTCAATGGAAACAGTTTAGGGTTGGGAAGCTTCATGCCTGAGAGCGAGATTGAACCGCGTACGATCGCTCGCGGTATATACGGTAGAATCCAAGGCCGGGAGATGGCGATCTTCCATCTCTGCTCTCTTTATCGTCGGCCCTAATTCGGTCAAAACGTCCTCTAAGATTTGAAACTCCATTTTGATTTGGATCTTATCATAAGATTCTTTATTTTGACAGTTAGTAATTTTAAATTTTAAATTTTGATAGTACATTCAGTTATATTTTTATAATTAAAAAAAAGATTTTATTCATTTTTTGGGGTTTTCTTCGTTAACTTTTGTTTTTTATTTTCCTTCTTGATATATTATAAAGTAATTTAAGAAAATAACTAAATAAGTATAAATATTTTTACAAATACATACGAAATTTCATAAACAAACAATTTTAAATTTAATTATGAAAAGTTTATTTAATTTTTTTACCACAAATTAAATACATCAATTAGAAAAAAAAATCAAAAGATTATAATAATGATTTATTTAAATTTTAATGTCACTCTCTTATAAATGGTTTGAAATAAAACTATTAGTTCCATCACGGTTAAATGGTCGTTATTGCGTGGCTTCACTTTGAATTTTTTTATTTATTTTATTTTTTGAAGTTTAAGAAATTAGAAAGAGACTCAAAATTTTAAATATTTTGAATTTGTTGATGAAATATTTTTTTCTTTCTTTTTAAAATTTTAATTTTCCAGAAATAGAGTAATATCGTCAGCTATTTTTTTAAAAAAAATTTGGAAGTGATATGTTTATATATAATAAAAAATTAAAAATCTATAATTGTTTGCTACTAATCCGGAAGGCGGCACATGCCAATAACATGGTATGTTATAAAAGATTACGGAAGTACTCGTACAAAAGAAAACTTTTTTTTTTTAATGACGAGGAATCGTCCGCTGTCACACCCGACTTTGTCGAGCGCCCTTAGCGGTCTGTAAATCCCGGCCGACCTAATGGGCCAGCCAGGCAACAAACTCATAGCCGGTGCTTTGGAGCCCCCACTTAAGGGCCGACTGCCGCTCGAGAGAATCTAACTCGGGATCGGGGGTTCTCAACTGAGCTAAGCATCGACGAGTAAAACAAAATTTTCTCATGCTCTTCAAAAAAAGAAATTAAGATTTTATTTTAATACTATAAATAAAAAATGAGAGTACATCAATGAAGAGTGAACAACAAATGAAGAGAAAACTAAAATAAACAACTTGCAAAAAAAATTAACTAAAATGTAATTGGTTATTTAACTAGGAGGTTTTTGGTACGAAACTAACGTTTGTGAAGTGTGTGTGAATTTGTCTTAATAGCTCTGATATGTTACCAAAAAATTCATCTTAATCAAGCACGAATCTCAATGCAAATATAACATTGAAGCTTCAAAAATAAAAATCGGGACCATCTAAATTATGATTTCAATAAACTTATAGTCAAATTGAAAATCTCGAAGGGACGAGCCCAATGACATCAAAATGAGTCCAATCTAAGCCCAAATGAACCTAAATGAGGGATCCAAAGCATACTTGGAGATGTCAACACATGAATTGGATAACCAAATGATCGTCGAATATGAAATGTTTATAGTCGAATCAAATTACTGGACAGTAGAGTCCAATGAGCCCAAGATCACCTAATTTTGACGTCATTTTGGCATCAAATGCTTTATAAACACTCCATAATAAAATGGTCAATTGAAACACTCTCAACTTAACTTTGATCTTCTTTATATTTACAAGTCATGTCATTCCCAAAAAAATTATAAATAGACCACCATTTTCACATAATGAAGTGAAGCTCCAACCCGGCACCACTGCCGACAAATTTTCATCATCTGCCGCCAGGTCCCTCCTGTTCGCCGACCACCGCCAGAGTTATTTCCGACCACCGTTAAAATTCTTCTCGACCACCGACCATCGCTGGACTTTAGCATGTCTGTCAGCCATCGTCAGATCTCTTCTCGACCACCAACTATCGCTAGACTTATGTCCAGACATCGACCTTCGTTAGACATCTGGCTGACCACCAACTATCACTGGGCTTTGTCGTACTCCTGCCCGGCTATCGATCCTCTTCGACCAACATTGTCTGACTACGATTTTTCAACCTCTGCCTCCTAACTACGGTCCTTCTGACCTACATCACTCGCCGACTATGGTCATGTTGATCAAACGAACATATCAACACTGATTCTTCCAACTCCCACCATATAATGTACTCTATATGATGTATATTTGCTACATCGAGCCAAGACCTTCCTCCTAATGAAGGATCTTATTTATAATCAACTGCAAACACTAGTAGATTCGTTCAAACTGTACAAGACCCCGTGGTTTTTCCCCTTTTTTAGGGGTATACACGTAAAAACTTTGTTGTCTCTTGTGAGCTCTACACTCCTACTTATTTATTTGTCTGTGTTGGACATCATACAAAGCTAGTACGTTAAATTTATCTCTCTCTACTATCCCGAATATTCTAGGACACAACATGCTCAAATATCCCAAAAAAAAACTTGCAAAATAAAACTACCAAAAAAAAAATAAAGAAAACACAAATATACTACTATAATAACTTAAAAATGCCAAGTTAGATCATGCTACTTATAAGGATAAATTTATTATGATAAATTAATTATGTATATATGAACTTGATCATATGATTTACCTAAAAATATAGGATAAAATATAAAGCTACGATTTAAATAATAATAAAATAATTAAAATATAATACCAAAATAAAATGTGAACTAATTTAAAATATATTGTTAATATTAAATATTACTAAAATATTAATTCACATTAAAATACTAAAAAATCTACCAATGTATAAGAAAGACGAAGAAGAACAAGAGGAAAAATAAAAAAATGGCGCAAGAAGAGGAGCTTTTATTCTGTACAAAGACCGGACGGGAGAACCGTCCGGTTAAGCACTGGGTACCCAGCAATACCAAATGCTGGTGCCGAGCTGGGTACCCACCAATGAAGTGATGTGGCACATTTTTATTGATCTCCAGACATCCTCCGCACTCCGCACAAAATAATTCTTCGAAGGAGGAAGAGACAATGAAGGAAACTTCCCTATTTTTGATTTTAGGTTGAAAGAACAGGAGGACGATAGGGAAAGCTTTAACAACTAGGAAGAGGAGAAAGATGTCTTGTCATGTCCTAACATCTAATTAGAATAATTATATTTAAATTTAATTAAATTCATAAATATATCATATTCCATGGCCAACTAAAACATCCAGTCATCCAGATATGATAAACAGATATCATCACAATTTCATATTAAAATATTAATATACAATAATCCATAACACTTTTCTTATATCTAGCATCCTCTAAGAATAATAACTAAATTGTAAAAAATAAAATAAAAACACTCAAATAAAATTTGAGTCTTACAAATGCAATATAATATTATTAAATTAATGGAGTCTTATAAATGCAATGATTAATTTAAATATTACTCGAAAAAATAGTGATGATGAAAGAATAAAAAAAATATTGTGAGAGTAAACATGAAACATAATGTTCGTTTGACAATTGTTGTAATTTTGTAGGTAGAATAATTTTTTTTTATTACTATATCAATAGCAGCAAACTTCCGCATGTTCGTCAATGGCCACCGGAGTTCTTCTGAACCATCGTCGGACTTCTGCCCGTTCATTGATCACCAATGGATTTCTACCTATTCATCGACCACCATAGAAGATCTTCCTTACCACTGTCAAAATTCCACTCATTCGTGGACCATCGCTAAATTTCAACCCTTTCATTGAACATCGCCAAACTACTGCCCGATTCTTCAATCAATTATAATTCTATTATTCAAACTTTATAATTCATTCAAACTTAATATCATTTTCTCATCTGAGCTAGACCCATGGTTTTTCTCTTTCCGAATTTTTCAAGTAAAAAGCTTTTAGCATTCTTCTATTTCTTAGTTATCTGTTGATGTGCCAGATACACATACATTGCTAAGACGCTTTACTATCTTACTCTATTGCCGCATATATTCACGACCGCAACATTAGTATAACTATAATTTTTTTATTAGAAAGCAATAAAAAAACTGTTCGAAACGAATACTAAGTCTTAAAAAAATATATTTGGAAAACAAACTTACCAGAAAATTACAGAAAGCGAGTTCAAAAGTGAGCTCTCACAAAACAAAGAGATCTTACTTATTATAAGTTATAACTTATTTCAATGCGACTCGCGTCGAAGCTGAGATATAGAGATACTTACAATGAAATAAATTGGCTGAGATCATGGAAACAAGAAGAAATTGCAAACATCTGAAGCACAGAAAACATTCATGAAATGCTCTGCTTCTATCAACACTAAACCTCTCCACAAGTATTTATTCAGGTCCGCAGTTACACCAAACACAGCGGTAAAACATTACAGCTACAAACAGCAAACGCACTTACAAGAAAATAACTTGCAAGCTTATACTATTCTGTAAGCAACAGAAAGTAGAGTCAAACTGCTAATTCATTGTTGGCAAGAACATCACAGGTCACTCCTCTTAGGCTTGTGAGAAACTGGAAGCACCTTTAAAACATGAAGTGAAATCCTGTGTTTTAGTTTTTACTCAAAAGAAGGAGAGATTTTTCTATGCGGACTCCGAACGCAGCTCTGTATCTGGATACCAATTAGAATGAGCAACGTCAGCGATATCAAGCCACGGTACCGAGCAGTACTGAGCCCCGGTACCGAACCGCAGTCTTAGATATCCGGACGGAGTTCGGCTTCCGCACAAAATATTTTTTTTCCAAAAGAAGAGGTAATAAGCCTGCAAAAAAGAAAAATTAATAATGAAAATTTGATTACCACATCAGCAGATGGAATCCATTCATTTGTTGCTGGATTCCCATGACCAGAAACATGGTCGAGAGATGTAGTCGAATCTGGAGTCAGGTTAAAAGAACTTCTGTTTGATTTATCCATCTTGATGAAGCCTGTTCCAGTCTGACGCCACGGAACATAAAAGAGTGAAGAGGTATGAGAGGTTTTTTTGCTCTAAAGAGTGGTGTCAATATGAATATAATTAGTCTGACAAACCAGGCGGCATTTTTAACAAAGCTGAATGAAAATCTAACATGGGTCAGTTTGTTTGCCCGTAGATAGAAAACATGTTGCACTTAATATAAAAAAGGATTCCTTTTCTCTGTGTAACATGCTTGGAACCAGACATCTAGCTGTTGTGAAACCAATTGCATCCCGTATGTGCGTGTTAACCATACCAATAGAAACTTACCAGGCTCCTTAGATCATTGTTTCCTCATTATATCCCGCCTCCCCATCTTTCTTAATCTAAACTATTTCCCTCTTCATTGTCACATCTAGGCCTGTCAATATATGACACGACCCAAAAATCCGACCTGAGTTTTTCGGGTTCGGGACAACCAAAACCCGAAACGGGTCGGGTTCGGGTTACATTTTTCGACCCGTTTTATATTTTAGGTCAGGTTTGGGTCAACCCGCAAACCCGACAATGACCCGGTTCAACCCGCTGCCCGCACTGTCCAGATAGGCTCATTTCGCGTGTAATGAAATAGGGATTTAGGCATTTCACATTCCGCATTCATTTCAACTTTTTGAGACCGAGTCTTCCGACTTCGTCTCTTCTCCTCTAGGGTTGTCGAATCTAGGGTGTTCTCGACTGATATCGCGGTGCTTCCTGGCTTCCTGCCTCCTTGACGGAGCTTCTCTCCTCGTCGATGTCGTCGTCTGATCGTCTCCTCGATTCCTCTATTAGTATATTTTAAATCTCCTTCGGTCCTTCCTGCTCGAAGCTTTTCTCCTCCTTGCTATTTCATGCTCTTTTTTATTTTTATTTGTTGTGCTAATTACTTGCTATCATGTTAGAGCTATCTTGCTTGAAGTATCATCGTTCTTCATCGGTGATTCCTTCCGATTTTAAGATGTTATGCAATTTGCTTTTGATTTGTCGATTAGGGCATAACATTTAGCGATTTTTGCATTTGCCGATTAGGGCATAATGTTGGGTTTTTTGGCCATTTAGGCATGCTATAAGCCTGTAAGGTTGTTGAAGAATTTAGCCCTAACTGAAATAACGTAATAAATGGCCTTATGTTGAACTATTGAACTATTTTTTTGGATAGTATGACACTTTGGCCTGCCGGTTTAACTATTGCTGGCTTATTAGTTTATTTTAGGTGATGCCTGTTGCAATATTCTGTCTCTGGACGCTGATTCAGTGTTGTTAGTCTGCTAACATTTATTAAACTTACACCTCATTATGTGATTAATGATTTGGAGGGTTTAATCTGAGCAATGTATTATATAATAAATACTTAGAATTTTATACTTGTTTAACTAGTTTTATTGCAGTTTAATCTATAAGGTGATAGGTGATTGTCAGATTCAGCATTCTTGGAGCAGTCGAGTCCGAGCCATTGAAGCTTCATTCACATTTGTTGTAAACTTTTGGCAGTTTACAAAAATTAGTAATGAGCAATTGATTTGTAAATTTTTTATATGTTATTTTTCATTGTAAATGGCTAAATACCTAAATGGGATAATTAGCAATTGATATTTGATATGTGAGATTGTACCTTTGTAATTATAACATGTAAATGATTTGCAGATTTGTAATTGTAAAATTTTGCCCATGGTTTTCAGTTTTGCTTGCAGCTTTTAGCCATTTAAAACCTGTTTTTATTGTGCAGCGGGGTCAAACAGGTTGGTTCGGGTTGACCCGGACCCGAAGCGGGTCGGGTCCGGGTCAGCATAAATGACCCGTTTCAAGAAACGGGTTTGGTTCGGGTTGACCCGAATGGGGTCGGATCAATTTCGGGTTGGACCCGAACCCAACCCGAAACCTGTTTTTGACAGCCCTAGACTCACATCCCCACCACTGAGCATTGCCAAGCTTGGAGAGAGAATGTTCAATTTTTACATATATGCTCGTTTCGTATCCTATCTCTAAAGTAAAGCCACTCATCCACCTGAGCATCCTCATCTCTGCAATGCTTAACTTAATATTATGCTTCATTTTTAATGGTCAACCTTTTGCACCATAAAGCATTGCAGGTCTCACCACCATCTTATAGATTTTTTCCTTAAGTTTGAGGGGGACTTTTCTATCACACAATAAGCCTGACGCATTACTCCACTTCAACCATCCAACTTGAATTCTACTAATTATATCCCCATCTATTCAACATCACTCTGAACAATAGACCCAAGAGATCTAAAACGTGTACTCTTATTAATGACTTGATCATTCAAAATCGTAATGCCCCCACTAGATCTATTACTACTAAAATTACACACCATACATTTAGTTTTAGATCTACTCAAACGAGAACTTCTAGACTAAAATAAATAAAAATTATAAAATTAAGATTAAACGCAACTCTTACTTGTGGCAAACCAAATATTTCGAATCTCTATAGGCACAATAGATAAGGTGACAATCGTGTCAAACCAATGTTAATTTGGAGGAAGTGGATGTTAGTGCTGTGGCCACTTCCAGGGTAAAAGTCTTGGCAAAGGACAAAGTGATAAACTCTAGAGCTACTAAACATATATGTGGCTGTAGAATGCCTTCTCTTCCTACACTGCAGCTAGGTAAGGAGAGGAAAGTCTTTTCCGAAAGTTCTAAACCTGTATCAATTGTTACTTTGTTAGCAAAGGGAAAATTAATTTAGCTAACTTCTAGCAAGATACTCTCACTAATTTATATCCTTCATGTGCAAAATTTCATGGAATCTCATATATGTTTCAGTTTAGGCATAATGGGTGTCAAGGTTATCCTTGATGTTGAAGAAATTGTCAAAAAAAATAAGGTGTTCGTATAAGAAAGCGTTACTCTCAAATTGTTTTTTTCTTTTGAATGTGTTAGATAATATTAATGAAGGCATTTTTACTTATGCTTGCCGTCTTGAATCAACTAACTTATGCCACAGTTGTCTTGCATACGTGAATTATCTTCTATATTGAGGAAATGCAAGAACTGAAAAATGTTATGTATGTGAGAAATCCAAGCTAGAAAAGTCTTGCCGATCTGTGATCTTAAGAGAAACTGAATTTCTTTCTTTTATCCACTCTGATTTAGGTGACATGAAATTCACAATGGTAGAGGTAAAAAAAATACTATGGGACTTCTATTAATGATTGTTCTTGGTTCACCAAATTATATAAGCCAAAAAAAGAATAAATAAAACTTGAAAAATTCATAATTTTTTGTTCCATGGTTGAACATAAATTATGTTGGAATATGTTAGAGTTAGACCGGCCTAAAGGCCGACTGAACCGGTCCATCCTAGACCGGTTCAGTGTTACAAAAGGCGGGCCTAACCAGAGAAAAGGAAGAAGGGGGCAGCTAAGGTGATGGGGCCCACGCCCTAATTAAACTTTGCATTGGAGGGAAAATTTGAATTACGGACTGTTTAGGGATTATGTAATTTTTATTTTGCTTTAATTAGTTTCTTCTTGCTAGTGTTAGGGTTATCTTGAATTTGAATCTGAAATTTGGGATCTTAGCTTTGATTTTGGGCTCTAGCCTTTGTCTAGAAATTTGGAGAGTTGAATCTTCCTCTTGAATCGAAGATTCTTGTCTCATTTGTTGTTTTCTTTTCTTCTTTTGCTAAATTGGAGATACTTTCTTGATGTTTTCTCTACAAAAATTGGAATTTCACCAATCTGATAGGAAGTGGATGCAAATTTGTAGAGAAAACAGCACTTTGGTTTTGCTGAAATTAGATGTGTTTTGGAGGACTTTCATAGATGTTCAAAAAAAAGGTGATGCTAATCCTTCAAATTTTCAAAGTTTAAAATACTCGGGCTTGGAAAAGATTCATAGAGATGATCCAAGCAATCACTTTAATATTAAGTTAAGAGGATCAAGTATCAAAGTTAACATATATTTAGGAACATTCTTCTATATACTAGTTAAGGAATCGGAATTTTCATATGAAAATTTGCTCTTAGGAATCATACATAGGATCCAAAGAAAGCATGCCAGGCTAAGGCAGCTATATATCCAGACATTGCTTCTAGGTTTTTTTAGCATATGGTGGTAGCTTCTATGACATACCTTTATGACTAGGGAATGAAATTTAAAGAAGCCAAGATATCAGAATTCTTTCTAATTTTATAAATAATTAAATACTCTACATTATGAAGTATTAGGAACTCCATAAATTGCTATTATAGTTCATTCTTCTCCCTCTCACAATTTATCGAGTTGTCAACATCCTTGAGTTTGTCATTTATATCAATCCTAGCAATGGACACATATTAATGGTGCTCTTGTTGAGCCTTCCATCAGGTGATCTACCTCTTCTCCTTAGCAATTGTCGCTCAGATCTATCCATGTCTTCACTACACCTTCTCTCCTACTGCTCACAACTCTTCAATTTTACCCAAAAAAAAAATTATTGTTATCCACAACTACATCATTCCAAGCCCACATCCAACTCCATTCAATCCACAACAACTTAGTCACCTCTATCACATACCCAACCACGCCACTCCAAGCCCAGACCGAGTTTTGTTCATCTCAACATGACTTTGTCACCTTGGCTCAATCCAATGTCATCCCTAGATCTTATCCCCGAAACATTCGTCCCTAACCCAAATCCAGCGATCCTCCCAAGCTACCATCACTCGATTTCATTTTCTCCAAGTCGTCATTGCCACAGTTGTCATTCTCCATGACCCCTTTCCAAATCTGACCACATTTGCCCAAATCGAACCCGATCTATCATATTCCAACCCTTCCCCTCAACCTTAGTCATACCAATGCCTTAACTACGCAATCACAAAGCTGTTATCACTTGATCTGACCATCTCCACATCTCTCACACAATATCTCACCGCATTCACCTCTTTAATCCCTTCTTCATCACCCCTTTTAGATACAATCACATCCGCCCATGCATCTCATTTCTTTCTAGTTTCTTCCAACTTGAGGAAAAGGCCGGCTTATAAGGGGTGGATAAGAATATGATTAATTATCATAACGTGTAGTTAAGGATTGGGTTAGTAAGTCATCAAGGGGGCAGTCCATAGGTAAGTAGTGCGTATTAAGTACTTAATAAGCAATGAATGAGTCCTAGTGATTCTTTGTAATGTATAAATAATCTCCATTATGGAGCATTAGGGCATCAAATAAGGAAATGAAATAGCATCTTCTCTTGTGATTATGGTTCCTTCTCCCCCGTCCTAATCTTCGGAGTTGGCAGAATCCTCAAATCTGCCATTTATATGGATCCCAACGTGGCTCCTATCATGATACTTCCAAATTGACTTGTTTGGCGCTCATGCTACAACAATGTCGGAAGAGATCATTCTGCAGCAGACGAGACCAATTGAGGCTACCTATGAATTGTTTTCCGCTGAAAGAGATCCAACCGTATAAACCTAAACTAAAAAACATGTATTTGCATAACAAAATCTGAAAGGTGCTACAAAACAATAACACGGAGAAAAAAACTGAACGGAACAGACCGGAAAACTTTACTTATACCGTATGATGCTGCTTGTCTACGCAATTCAGATCCTTATAGTACTCTGTCTCCACATATTCTTCCTCCACTTCACTCCCATCACAAACTAGCTTCTATGTAAAAATAAGAAGAAGAATGGAGAGAAGAAAGAAACAAAGGTATTGGTTACAAAGCAAAGCAATTAGATTTATATAAAAAAGTAGGAGTTTTCACAAGAGACAGAGAAAGAGAGAGAGAGAGAGAGTGTGTGTGTGTGAGGAAAAATAAAATAACCTCTTGATTGGCTTCGAGATTTCGAAGCTTGTCGAGTTCGGGGATGGAGTCTCGGCCGGAAGAGAGTAGATCATCAGAGTAGACGGTGGAATACTCACTCCGGGAGGGCTTCGTGTGACGCTTTGGAGCTATACCGTCGAAATACTCACGCGCGTCCTCCTCCCTCCTCGCTTCCTCCTCCGGTGGCAGATGCGAGTCGCTCCGATCCGCCCTCTGCATTGCGCTCTTACGTTCGCTTCGCCTGATCTGCTTCTCCTTATCTCGATCTAAAGAGAGAGATTTCATGGACCGCGAGAGCAACGGATAATGTTAAGGACAACGACAGAGTAGAAAACTTGATATTGCCAGTACCGTCAACAAGCCTTCGAATGGAATTTATAGTAAAAATTTAATTTTTATAATCAGAAGGATCTTAGGTTAATTTCGGGCAAGGTTCTTAGGCCATTAAGGATGCTCGTGTTAATCATTTCCATTAAAATAAAAGCAATACACGTTCATACAACATAAGAAAGTCATCACAAAGATATTCAAGATATGACTCTTCTAGCGATAAAAATAGCACTATATAGAAGATGCTACAATATAGGATGATTTTGGAGGTCATTAATGATAACCTCCTTATACACATAGAGATGTTACAAACCTTAAAAGAAAAATAAGACAATATAAAGGGCATAGGGCCAATTAATGATGTTTGGGCCAATCCTCGCCTTGAAGATGAAGGTAACATTGCCTTAAAAGTGATGGTATAAGGTAATGCAATATGGTCAAGAATGTGACTAAAGATAGGCAAGATGAACTATGTTTTAGTGTTAAAGTTGTGCAATATGGAGTTGGCGGAGGATATGACACAAGAAGGTTATGGAGTTAGGTAAGAGTAGTCAATTCAATCCTCCTTCTAGAGATGATTATGGCATAAGCATAGTTATTGTATAGGCCTTAAAGTAAATGATTATGATGTAAATAAGATTGTAAGATTGTGATATCGTTTTTGAAAAATATGGTTGTGACAAGATAGATTGTTGCACGTTCTTGAAGCATATGCTCAAAATTTAGTGCTACAAAGGGAATACCATCTATTCTCTAAATAAATGGCTAGCCAAAAAGAAGACATCTTTACAACACATTTTTTGAAAATTCTATATGATTGTATGGTTAACTAGAGACACAAAACCATTATAGTACATGTATATTTAATATGTGTATGTTCCTTAATGACATGCATTCAAACTTATTAATCATATTGATGTATATATTGCACAAAGCTCACTATTTGCTCAAGGAAATTTGAAATTGATCATTCAACCAACTTTCATCCCAGGTGCATAAGATCCTCTTAGATGATACAACTCATTTTTGTTGATCAAATCCTCTAGTCAAGTAAGAGTCATTATCTCTACTGACTAACTAGATCAAAGTCCAAAAAACCATAAGATATTGATAGAGCAAGTCATCATCACCTAAATAAATCACTTCGAGCTTGATGACCAACTTTTTGGTACTGAGTGAACCATTTTAGCTATACACTTATGCGTGACATAATGTTATTAACTTTAATAAAACATGCTCTCTTAATGGACAAGTGATTAGTATTGTATGCTGGTGTAATTAGTGAACTATCAAAATGTAAAAATAAAGTCAATCACAAGAAGGAAAATCTAAGAGTCTTTTTATTTTCACTATTTTAATATGCCACATGAAAATGGCATCTTATATTGCAACAATACATAAGCTTTTTCATAGCCCTCAATAATAAATAATTCATCAATTTTATGCTAAAGAATATTCAACTATGATAGTTTGATGTAACTCAGAGGATTTGAATTGGTCAACCTTATAAAATATTTAGGTTCAATTTAAAATTTTTATTATTTGAGTATTATATTTTTCTATTTTTTTATAGAACTAATACTTTTATAAGTGTAATTACAAGTCATATGTATATTCATAAGATTTTATTAATATAAATTTTTTTCTTAAATGATCAAATTATCTCATTATATTATTTTTAAGTTGTAGATTAATTTTAATGAGGATAAAATTGTCCATACATGAATAACCTGAAGACTATATATATGCATGCGGTGATAGAGTTAGATTTTTTCATCTTAGCATTGTATGGATATCTAGCATACAAACATAAGCTGAAAGAACAACATGATTTTTACGTGAAAAGCCCTGAAAAAGTGAAAAACCACGGGGCCACGTCCAGCTGAAAAAGATTCCGCTAGTGTTTGAATTGATTTTAAGTGACTAATTCATCCTCGAAATTAAAGACAATCTGATTACAATATTCAATCGTCTATTTATGAATGGAAGTCAGATGGAAGTCCAGCATCAGTTGGTGAACGGATAGAAATCCGGTGTTAGCCGGCGGTAAGGTAAAAATCCAACGTCGGTTAGAAGCTGTACAGAAATCTTGTGTCACTTAGAGGCCGGACGAAAGTTCGGAGTTCGTCGGTGGTCGGGTAGAAGTCTGGCGTCACTTGGAGGCCGGGCGGAAGTCCGACGTCAGTTAGTGGTCGGGTGGAAGTCTGGTGGTGGTCGAGGAGGAGTCTGCTGGTAAGATAGTTTTCTTCCTTCTCTTCTTGCTTCTTCCCTTCCCATGAGAAATGAGGGGTCTATTTATAGTTTTCTGAGAGTGGCATGACCAATAAATATGAGGAAAATTAAGGGTAAATTGGGAGTGGTTTGAATGGACGGCCGATGTGATTTCTTTGATCATGGACTGCTTATTGGACATTTGAATGTCTTAATGATATCAAAATTTGGCGATATTGGGCTCATTGGATTCTTCTCGTCGAGCCGCTCGATTCAACTATAAGCATGTCACGTTTGGTAATCCAAATTATGGTTTGAACCTTCCAAATGCGCTTTGGTTCCTTAATTTGGATATATTTGAGCTTAGAATGGGTCAAATTTGGTGTCGTTGGGTTCGTATTTCCGAAGCATTCAGTTCGACTGTAAGTTTGTTGAACTGAAAGTTAAGATAGTCTTAGATTTAAATGTTGAAGTTTTCAACTTGATTTTCCTTGAGATTTGTGCCCGATCAACATATATATGATTTCGCATTTCACGATATATTTTAGCATTTTATTCCCCACATTAAAAAATATTCAATTTAAGGTCAATTATAAGTATAAAATTGCCCTCCAAACAGTGTCAAAATGCACTAAAAACCCCACTAAGCTGAGAAATTATGTTGGTCCACAAAACATGATCAAAAGTAGGGATGTAAATGAGTCGAGCTGAGCTCGTGTTACATCTGGCTTGAGCTTGATTAATTAATAGAATTTGAGCTCGAGCTTTGTTCAACGATTTGAGCCAGTTCAAGTGCCTGTTCATTTTTTATGATATAGATAAAATTATTACGATTCAAACAAGTATTTTAATAAACAGATAAAAAGAACTAGAAATAAAAACAATAATAATAAAAATCATTTAATATAAGAAAGGGAAATATAACTTTTAAATATTTATAATAATTTTGCAATTAAAATTCTAAATGCTAGTATATTTTATATTAATATTTTTTAAATGAGTTAGCTTACGAGCTAACTAGTCGAGTTAGGATAAACTTGGTTCATTATCATCAAGTTCATATCACGAGCCATTTTTAGGGGTTGTTTGGTATTGGATTGGATTTAACTTTAGTAGGATTTAGAAAATCCTGTAAATCCGAATTTAGTAAATTTTGAGGCTGTTAAATCCTGAAAACTGTTTGGTATGAGAAATATTAAAGCATGTTAAATCCTAAGGAACTATTTAGCAACAACTTTCATGATTTATGATAGTTAGAAATTTAAACATGAGAAAATAGCATTGAATTACATCAAAAGCTTGCTATAAAGCCAAGATAACTTCTTACCACAAAACCAATCCAACATGAACTCGTATAATAGAAAGTATAACATGCAAAAAGAGCATATGATAATATGATAGAGTAATAATGATGTTGTAGACACCGATAGACTGCAACTCAATCTAGGATTTAAGACTATTAGTTTATTAAAAATTTAAATTTAGTTTATGTTTTATATTTAATTAGTATTTTAAATACAAATTACTTATTCATTATAATTTTAATTAATATTAATAAATTATAATTAGAAAATAATTTTATTATGGAATAGCTAATTAAATTTAATTTTGATTATATTTTTTAATTATCTATGAGTTAATTATTAATTATTAATTTTAATTATCATTACTAACTAATTATTATAAAAAAGATAATTAGAATTTAAATTAATTATCAAATAATTTAAGTATTTAATTATTTAGTAATTATATTATATTCTTATTTAATTTTAATTAACCTAATCAAACTAAATTAATTTATGAGTATATTCTATGGCAAGTTCGTCACTACCTTCATTAGCTGCAGGTTTTCTTTTCCTCTTCTTCGGCTATTCATTGTCGTTCGACTTCGCCTGCTTAGTTTTGAATGATTCACTTAATAACTTCACATTCCTTCATGTCGGATCTCAAACCATACCTCCTCACCGTTCTATGTTGGATCAAAAGTAACGACGACGATGAGAGCTTGCTCTTGCTCGTTGCAAGGTAGCCATATTTCTTTCTTTCCCGCGCTTCTTGGGTCAAATCCCGTTAAATCCGCGTTCTAGATATGATTTAGATTTACGCGGATTTATATGGGCATCAGATTTAGATGACCTCCAAAATCTGTTTGGCTGGATTTTCCTTAAATCCTGCTTAAATTCCAGTGCAAATCTAATACCAAACAACCCCGTAGAGTTGAACTTAAACTAATTCACTGAGTTGACTAGAGTCATTTATACCCTACTTCGATACACCTTCAAGATGATAACTATTTAAATCATCTCCAACCGAATTATAAATACACTTATGATGTCCGTCAATTGCTCCACCTAAATGTTAAACGAGACTCTATATTCCCACCGTGAATAATGTTACATCAATATCGACGTCACACTGTTCACCAACGAATTTTTTTGAAAAATTAAAAAAAAAATCATATTAAGTGTACGTTCTTTGAAGTATTATGACATTTTAAAGTGTAAAATAAAAATTTTGATTAGTAATGGCATTAATGATCTTAAAGAATAAAAAGAACGCAAAAACTAACCAAATCGAAAGGCTTCTACTCTTTCTAACACGTCAGCGGTGGAAGCGTGCTTATTTTATTCTCCAAATACGAGAAAAGAAACAAAGATGACGAACGACGATGGTGGTTCCTTGCCTTTTAGGCTGGAAACCGATTCATCCCAACCCCACCTCACCTGTCGCCATTCTCACCATTGTCAAAGCCCTTACCTTCTTTGCTTTTCTACATCTCGCACCCATCGGCGCTTTTTTCCGGCTTCTTTAGATGGGATCTTGGAAGCGGAGAAGTGTTCATGAGATGCTCGGCGGCGGACTGCGTAAGTTAATTTCTTCTTCTCTGACATGTCACAATCTTGCTTGATTGTTATACGAGGATGGGCGTAAAATGATTCCTGATGTAATTATTTTGTCTGGTTCTTTAATAGTGATCTCAAATCGTGTTCTTTGGATTGTAGCTGATGGCTGATGTTGTTTTAACAGTTGCTGATGTGATTATGTGGAGAAGAAGGAGTATTACGATTGGAATATTACTTGGAACCTTTGCGGCTTGGGTGATATTTGAATTGTCTAGATATACTCTGGTGTCACTTGTTTCAAGGGTTTTGTTGTTACTGCTGACTATACTTTTTGTGTGGGCGAAAGCAGCGGGGGTTCTCAACAGGTAAAGCTGTTCAGAGAGTGATTATTGTTGTACCTCTTGCTTGAAGTGGTTTGTTTATGCTTTTGAGATTCATGCCTTGGGAAAATTTCGGTCAGGAGAACTCTTATGTTCATAATCTCCATCAATAAATGTAGTTGCTGCTCATAAAAATACATGCACGATTACTTCACTTTAGTTTCAGAAGGATTTTGTATGAGACGTTGACATTCTTATTGGGAGATAATGTAAGAAAGATTTGAGCAGAGAGACAAATTCTAGATTTTGACTGGGAGTTTTAAGAGTAACGAAGAAAGTTATTCACCGCATCATTTTTCGGGAGTAGAAAGAAATGAAAGGATAATAAAATTTTATAATTGATTTGTCATATATATCCTCACAAGAAGAGAGATGTTTAGCCTATGATTAAGATGGAGTGATTTTTGTTATTTCGTTAGAGCAAGCATTATATTGGTAATATTAAAAGCATTGTATTTGTATATATAATTACTAAGTGTCTACATTAAGATGGAAAATGTACTTTTAAATACTCTAGTTAACCAGTTTGTGTTTTTGATGTATGTTTTTTTAATCAGTTTTCTTGAAATTTAATAGGATTTGATTGGTTCACCTATTGATTATATAATCCTCATAATTATCTCACTATTTATAATTTGGATTTGTGATTAACCTGCTTGAAAAATGATAGGATTTTGTTTTCCTGTTTGTTTTGTAAGCCTATTAATAATTCATGTCAATTAATATTCAAAACTACAAATGACCCCTTAGCTTGAACATGCCTGACCTGTTGCCATCTTGAATCTATGTAATGGTTGTCTAGGGTATATGGGCAGCGATAAGCAAAAAATTTTGGTTTTAAGCTCCATAAACCCTTACCTTTTATTATATATACTGATAGGCGACTTGGATGTGTAGTGAGGTGACAAAAAGAGTTATTAAGTAAATGAAGTATGCTTTTAACAGTGGCACAAAATAGAATACTTTTGGGTCTAATAATAATTGTAAGAAAGCTGGAGGTATTGCTATTGTAAAAAGTATAGTGAACAAAGCAAAATCAATAGCTTTTGATGATTTATATAATAATCTTGGAATTAAGGAAGTGAAAAAGAATATATATAGAATAACTGATGCAGGACAAAAGAGATGAAGAGATTTTGATCAAATTAGATGCATTGAAACTAAAGATAATGAGAACTTAGGATTTGGTTAAACATAAAATGATGCAGAACAAATGAGGAAGTGTTCATCATCTTCAATGCATGATTATTATGATCAAGAAAGCATAGCATGATCATCAAGAAGGCATCAAGTTTCTGATCAAAGAATATCCATCATGCTTAGTAGAAACATTTAAATTCCAACAATCTAAGTATAAGGAAATAAGAGGATCGCAATTTAAAGTTTAGAGGTGGTAAGTTAAATTCAGATCATTCTCCATTTACTTAATTGACAACCACTCCACCTTCCAAGTTGATGCATGGATGTGTCTAACTCTCTTCAAGCAAGCAACATGTGGAGTATTTGAAGAACACTCGCCTGCCAAATAAGCCATAGTCGAAATTTGTCACATAAGGAATGAATTTTATTCCACATGGTTATCTACGCTCTTTCCTTATTGAAGCATATGGTTTGCCAAGCTAATGTCAATGAGGTGTAACATAAATTCAAGGCTTCTGAAAGGAAATTCAACTTCAAATTCCTAGAAGATGTAGCTGGCCTTCCCTATCTCTTACTTAATTTATGTATTTTGCTTTATCTCAAAATAACTGTTATCAAATACTATAAATATGTGGTAGCCTTCGTATCAAGCTTAGAATTGGTTGAATTATTGCATTGAGTTGCTTGTGAAGCAATATTGGGGTTGGGCTTGGTGTCTTTCTTCTAGATAGAGCTTTGGTAAATTCCATCAAATAATGTTTCTATCTTTTTATTTTTCTTTTGAATAATATCCCTTCTTTCCAATATTTAATTATTCATATCGTCATTCCACTCAGATTGTTAGCTCTCCTCATCATGCACTACTGAATCATCATCCAAAACCTACCCTTGGTAGAGCCCACTGTTTTCATCATTTTTGTATCAAAGAAAAAGCAAATCTGCATTCTGTTTTTGAAAAGAAATTTTATGATTTCTTCCTATTCCTTAACTTTCTTTAGCGATAATGTTCAAGCATGCAATTTGTGATATTGGCTTTAATTTTGATGCCAAAATGTCCAAAATCTTCTTTGCTCTTGGCCCTTTACAGGTTACTTGTTTTTCTTCTTCTCAATCCTATAAGAAGTCAAAGGTTTGGTTTTCCTTCTTCTCAATCATGTATGAATTTTAGGTTTGGTGGCTATCTTGTGTTTATTCTTTGATGAGATTTTCTTAGACTATAATTAGGAAATAAATAATTATTTCTTTTTATTTAGATTAAGAATAATTATCCTAATTCTGTTTTTTTTTTTTTTTTTTTTTTTTTTTTTTTTTTTTTTTTTTAAGTTCTATTTACAATTTTCTGCTATCTTAGTTTCAATTCCTGTTGTCCTTTGGCCTTTAAATTAAAATCCTAGATTTCTCCTCTACAAAGCTATGCCAACATGTTATCTTCAATCTATATCATAAAAAAAAATTAACTCGCCTTGACTAGAGTAATCAAAGTGGGGAGAATTAACGCATAACAGAGGAGGAAGTTTACATCATCTTTAGCATATAAATATCATCATCATTAACGAGGTATCAAGTTTCCAAAATCATGCCCAGTCAAAAAATTCAAATTCCAACAATTAAAGTATAAGAAAAGAAAAAAGATCACAAGTCAAAAGTTTAGATTTGAATATTAAATTCAAACTATGTCCATATAGTTAATTGACAACCACTCCACCTTTGTAATTGATGCATGGATGTGCAACCCTCTTCAAGCAAGCAACATGTGGAGCATTTGAAAAACATTTTAAGAACGCTCTATTGCCAAATAAGCCATATCCAAATCAAAATTTATCACATAAGGAATGAATTATATGTTGCATGATTTATCTACGCTCTTTCCTATTGAAGTGTGTGGCCAACCAAGCTAATTTTAAGGATGTGTGACGAAAGTAAAGGCTTTTAAGAAGAAATTCAACTTGAAATTCAAAGAAAATGTACCTTCCATCTCTCTCCCAGGATTTATGTACTTGCTTTATTTCAAAATAACCACAATTAAGTGTTATAAATATGTGTTATCTTTTGTATCAAGCTTATACTTGGTTGAATTCTTGTATTTAGCTGCTTGTGAAGCAATATAGAGATAGGGCTTGGAGAGTCCAATGAGTAATATTTTAATCTTCATTGTTGATTTCTGAAGTATTTTTTGTATCAGTTTTGACAGAATATGTTGCTTTAGCAAGCACTATGTCCTTCATGATTGAAGCAAAGTGCTGCTGTAGAGTTTGCTAAGTGGAGGATTCTATTTATGCATGGGAATTTTCTCATAAAGATATTTTGCTAAATTTTGTTTTGCTATTTTGCCAATAGTAAGTTCTTTTCCTATACTTTAGTCATTTGTGAGAGCAATTTTCTACGCCTCATTGTCTTGGACTTTGTTTAGGTGGGGCCATTGGGCCTATACAGTTAACTGAGTTTCGTTCTCCCTCCACGGCGGAACCAGCTTCAATTTTGAGGGGGGGCAAATACAACACAAAAATAATATTATATATCTATATATTACGAAAAGTTAAAAAAAAAATTAAGCAAGAAAAATTAAAAAAAATGTAATTAAACTATCATAAAAATCATGAAAGAGAATATTAGAATTAAATGTGAAGAAATATATAGATATTTTAGGGCAAGTTAGGACAAAAAAATTTTAGGGGGGGCAAAAATAATTTTTTAGGAGGGGCAAAAAAGTTTTTTTACTCTCCTCTAAAATAAATTTTTTTTTTTAAGGGGGGCAATTGCCCCCCCCCCCCCTAGGAACCATGTGGTTCCGCCCATGCCTCCACCTTGTAAAAGTTTACTAGTACGAAAATTAGATAACGAGTTAGAAGAACTAGAGATATGCTCATGTCAAAAACAAATATAAATAATTTAGCAAATATTTGTTTAGAGGTTACATGGTTGAGATCCTTTTTTGGTAATAGATTTGATCATGCTACAATCATGCGAGACAAAAAATTTTGATCAAATAAATCATTCTGGAATTTAGTAAAAAGTTTTAAAATGAAAGTTAGTCTTTCTCGATTGTGTAGTACTTTGCTTTGAGTAGCATTCCGTTTGCCAGAATAATATCTAACTGATTTTTTAGCAGAAGAACAAGGTTCTTGTGGTTTGAGAGTAACACAAAAGTAGATATTAGAGGCATCGATTCAAATAACTTAAAAGACATTAGGATTTACAAGAGTTGAACATGGGAGGTTTTTAGCTTGTTTAAATTTGTGAAATGCAATAGTATGTTCATCAAATTGCGGCGGTGTGTTTTTTTAATCTATCATAAATATAGCATTGTTAGCTAATTTCTTATAAAAACTATCTACATAATTTTGAGATTCAAGGAACCTCTGTAGTTGTTTAATATATAATATCATATGTAAATTTAGAAACAAATTTGATACTTCAATCTATAAGGATAATTGTCCCATTTGGAATAATATGACATACGAATCTAACATTGGTTTGAAAAAAAAAATTTTTTTTGGAGCATAAATTAGCAAACCATTTTGAAGCTCAGCAATTTAAACAACAACAACAACAACAACATCAAGCCTTTATCCCACTACGTGGGGTCGGCTACATGAATCCTTTTTCTCCATTGTGTCCTATTAAAAGCCAAATTCTACTCAACATATTTAAATGTCTGTATGGTATGTTCACATAGATAGGAATATCATTGATGAAAAAAATAATTTATTATGAATAAGGAGTGAATATATCATTCATGATATTTTGAAATTCACTTGGAGTATCCTTCAAGCAAAGTATCATAACATTGCATTCATAAGGCCTCTGATTTAAATTCGCTAATATCCAATTTTTAAATCAAATTTAGAGATCATAGCTTTATAAAATAAGAGTGTGTATTGTTTTGATGCTAACGAAAAATTGAATTAAACCAATCTTGTTTGGTTGCTTTGCTTTGGTTGTTAAAGTATTGGTTTTGTTATTTGCGAGGTTTTCTTTAACTTTTGGTCATTGTTCGATTTTGTTTTTTAAAAACCAATTAAATTAAAAACAAAATCATACTAGTTTCTTTAAATATTAAGTCAACAAAACTTATAAATTGAAAATAAATTACAGAAAGAGCACCATGGATATCATTTATTTTGCATTCAAAATTATAAATTTTAGTGAAGCTTACGTAGTATTGTTCTTTGTTATTTAAGCTAAAGTTAATTAAATTTATTATTAAAGCTAATTATATTTTGGTTCATCCATAACCAAATCAAATTGCTCAAACTAAAGTTCGATTTATTTTAGTTCTATTCAAAAAATAAAAGTTTGGTTGGTTCGGTTTTCTGTATTTTAGATTCAAAATAATTTTGTTTAGCTAATTACTAAACCAAACTAGTTAAACTGGCCAAATGCACACCCCTATTATAAATTCATCTAAGTAGATTGTTAGATCGGTCCCTCTTGGACTGGTCAAGTCAGTCCCTCTTGGACTGGCTCAGGTATACTGTAGGCGGAAGTTTCGCCTGCATTAGCCCCGCTGAAATTTCTGGGTGGGGTCTAGTGGCCAATTGAAGAGGGAATTAAGGGTTGGTTAGGAGGGAAATTTCAAAGGAGCTGTTTTTAGATTTACATCATTATTGTATGTTTTTTTTTTTAACTATATTATTTTCCTAGGGTTAGGGTTATGTGTTGTTTGCTGAAATTATATTGTTCTTAGGTTGAGTGTGCTCTAGTCCGCGGCTAGGGATTTGGGAGAGCCGGATCTTCCTCTTCAATTGAAGATCTATTATATCTTGTTCGTTTTTCTTCCATATATCATCAATTAAGTGGTTTTCTCTTGTTATTCCTCATAGTTCTTCTTGTGGATTGTTGTTTGGAATTGTTGAAATTAAAATTCAGCCAAGGGTTCTTGATTTTTACAAGCACTTCCTATCATAGGTCTATCTTATTTGGAAATTAGATATCAAAATCATTGTCTTTATTCAAAGGTTTGTAATTTATAACCAATATTGAGTGACAACATTTTTTGCGATAATAATCATAGCATAGAAAGGTGTTCGTCGGGAGTAAAACTTAACAAATAAGTCATTTTTTTCATAAAAAATCATTACTTTACTTTTTATATTATTTTAAATATTTTTTGTCATTTGATAAGATCTTGCCTTGTTGGAATATTTTTCTCATTAAATCCTTCTTCATAAAAAAGAGACGCAGTGAATTTTATCATTCAAAAAGGCATTTAGACCACATATTTCACTGTTGAGATTCATAGTAATAGCCTGAACAATTTCTCACTGCAATTTTTCATGTATTGTTCTTATATTAACTTCTTTTTAAGATATTTAAATGATTTTTTTTTCATCTTTTTCATTTCATTATGGATGATTTCATTTGGATCGGTGATAAATTATTATTATTATTTTTAAATTTTCGGAATATCTTCATTTATTATCAATTATGATTATAAGCATTAAGTCTATTTTTTTACTATTAAAAATAATGTATAGATATAAGTATCATGTTTGCATAAAAATACTTTGATGATTTGTAATAATGTTGTTTCTGAAATCACAAGCTGAGAGTTAGTTTTGGGTAAATATTTAGAAGTACGATTTCTTTAATACAATTCATAGATGGCCCACTATCAACTAGAACAATAAATGTGATTTTTTTTTTTTTAAATTTATAATCATTTGAGTGTAATAAATTATTTATGCATGATTATTTTTGGTAAGGCATTTTTCTAAACCAACGATTATTGGTCTTCTCCACTCTTGTATATTTGAGGATTTTAATTGATTTATTAGTTCATCTACTAGATACTTTAGATTAATGAGTCTAAAATTGATTCTGATGGTTGGATTGTGGATCATCGACTCCACTTTCAGGTGTGCGCTAGGAATTTACCTTTCATAAATCATATTTGAACGATTTGGCTTGATCTGCTTGTTCTCTTCTTGCGAAAATTATAAATTAAAGAATAGATATTTGGAAACCAGTAATGCTTCTAATGAACATGCAAAATGTCAAAAATTAGAATTGGAAAGCTGAAATTTTTGATACGTCAATGCCTAAAACACTCCTAATGTTCTTTTCTACTGTGGTTTATTGATAGGAAATACTTGAGTTCACAAGTAATCCTATCGGATGTACTTGAGTTCGCAAGCAACCCTAACAAGAAATTGATAAAAACAACGAGAAGACACAAGAACGATAATGAAACAACCCGAAATAACCGTAAATTTTTATTAAATACTCAAAACAAAGCAAACATAAGAAAAGATACAATTGATCCTCTATTCGAAAGAGGAGGATTGTTCTCTCCCAATCTCTAGACACCAAGTTTAGAGCCCAAGACACCCAAGAGACTCCAAGAGAAAACAATATTCAAGCATGCCATATCCATTCCCTCTCATACCTATTTATAGCCTTAGCCGCCCACCCCCCTTGCCAAAAATAGATTAAATCAAATAGATTAATCCCCTTGTCAAAAATAGATTAATCCACTTACAAAAAATATATTAAATCAAATAGATTAATCCCCTTGTCAAAAATAGATTAAATCAAATAGATTAATTCAAATAGTGGACCCAACTATTAATGGGCAGCAATCAAATAGGGCATGGGCCCCTATTGCTTGGGCGGCAACATGGGAGGCGGTTTGACCCGCCTCCTGTGGACTAAGGCCGGCCCATGTGGGGTCGGCTGGGTCGGTTCAGGAACCGACCTAACATTTATCCAAAGAAATGCTTCTTTGTTCTTTATTTTCATAAATAAATATCTTTATACAGGATAGTATTATGCCAAATTAATTGATATAGTTCTTAATTGCTTGGTTTGAGTGCTGCAGGCCACCTCCACCTTTACCAGAGTTACATATTACCGAAGAGGCTACAAATCAGGCAGCTGACTTCGTTCGAACCAAGATAAACATTATACTTTCTGCTTCCCGTGATATCGCACTTGGCAGAGATTCAAACCTTTTCTATAAGGTTGCGGCATGTCTATGGCTAATTTCTATTGTCAGCAGTTGGACTGATTTTCTTACCTTAGCGTACACCAGTAAGTCACCATGTCGTTCTCTTTGGTTTATTCACATTAAGAATTACTTTATTATATTGACTGTTTTAAGTTAATTTATTTATTGCCATATAATATTGCTCATTTTTTCTCATTTAAGCATAAGTTTTTTCTTTTTTGCATGATGTATTTGTTAGCTTGGGATCCCTTTTTTTTCGTGTGTTCTGAACATCTTTTTGATATAATAATCGGTATTTCATTGAAGTTGTTGCTTGCTTGAGAGAATTATGCAGAATTTTTAAAGGTTTAGAATCAATTTAATTAGAACTGGAACTCATGAAGTCTAACAATCCAAAGTCTTAACTATCGAGATATTGTCCATTTTGGCTTAATAGTCTTTTGGTTTTGTCCCGTTGATGTGTAACTTCCCAAAAGGGCACACATCCTAGTATTGCTCCAACACGAGTACACTTCACCGTGGAGTTTTTTGATGAAATTTTAACCATTATACCAAAAGATGCTTCATAAGAGTTTAATTTTTTGTTACTTTAGGGGTTTCTGATACGCCCTAGGGTTTCTCAATTTCGGTTTTGCTCTAATTCCCCTCAAATGAAGAGAATTTATCCACCAAATCCAAAGAAAAGCAATCACAAGAGAAATGGGATGAAGAACAGAAAAACAATTGTATTAAAATTCAAGATAAAATAAGATACGTTTGTCCAATTCGAGAAGGACAATGTCTCCCAATACAAACTCTAGAAAAAGCAAAAAGAAAATAATAGAAAAGTTTCAATCAGCATGAAAAAAAAACTGAACCCTAATTGCCCCCTTAATACCATCCCAAATTCATCCCACCTCCCTAAATTACCCCTCCAAAACAACCATATAACCTCCTCAACAACCATGTAACCTCCTTAACAACCATGTAACCTCCTCCAAAACAACCATGTACCTCCCTCCCCATGATACCCATGATCACATAGGTGGGCCTATGGGGCCCACCGTGGCTTCTCCTTGCTCCCAGCGGGTTCGCCCGTCTCCCCTTCTCCTTCTGTAGACCCGCACGGGTTCAGAGGGATGGACCGGTTGAACCGGTCCATTAATTTCACAATCTCTCTTACTTAAGTAACTGACTTTTCTCATCAGTATCCTTATCCTATAATCATCCACCAGGCAGATATGACTTTAGAGGTGGCCCCTACAGTTTCAAGTGGTGGCTCCTGCAATGTAACTCTTTGTCCCATATAGGGTTTAAGAGGTGGCTCCCATGGCATAACACTTTATCCTATATGACACTTATTTTCCATCTTTTTGCTAATATATTGCTCTGATACCAATTTGTAACAACCCAAATTCTTAACTATCGAGTTATTGTCCGCTTCGGCCTAATGGCCTCATAGTTTTGTCCAATTTGTGTAACTTCTTAGGATGTCACCATCCCAATATTACTCCAGCATGAGCACACTTAACCGCATAGTTTTTTAATAAAATTTCAACCATTACACTGTGCGCCTCGATGTTTAAGAATTTAGTTTCTTTTTGTTTAAGGGGTTTCACATGAAGTATGCTTTCCCGACACATGCATCTTAGTTTAGGTTATAACCTTATTATGTCTTGAATTTGTTGCCAGATATGCATAGGAAGTAAAAAAATCAACATTGAATTTGCTTGAGGGTCCGTCTTTATCAAATCCGAAGGATTTAAAAATCATTATCAAACTTTTTTCCCGGTTATGTGTTGATAATGATTCAAATTACCAAAGATACTGACGATGACGATCCCTTCACTATAGTCCTGCTTTTGCCTTCAATATGCACTCTAATACCATTTTTCCAGGTCTCGCTGTTGTTTTGACAATCCCTGTACTATATGAGAAGTATGAAGATGTAATCGACAAATTTCTACTCTTAGCCTATGTAAAGCTCAAGCTTCTATGTGAGAAATTGGATGAAGATTGTTTGAGAAAGGTAAAGAAATGGATTCTGGAGAATAGGAAATTAAGCTGAAGCCACTTTCATTCCCTTCGTTATATGGAGAGCGAACAGTAACTTCATTTGGTTTTCCCATAATTTTGACAGTGAGGCTTTTCTCTTTTCTGTGCATCTGGAATGAAGTTTTCTTCCAGTTCTGCTTGGCACAGTTGTGCTGCTATGTGCTTTTACGTTGTTGTATGTAATAAATTCATCAGAGAAAGAGTTCTTATAATTTGATACAAGTGCCCATAAAGGGTACATTTAGGGCTGTCAAAATTGAGTCACGGGTTGGGTTTGGGTTCAACCCAAAATTGGCCCGACACTGTTCAACCCGACCCGTTTTTGCAAACAGGTCAGTTTTTCAAACCCCAACCTGACCCGCTTCGGGTCCGGGTCAACCCGAGCCCGACCCGATGCGGGTATATTTTATTAAATTTTTTTATTTAGTTCATTTTATTTAAATCTAAGTCAAATTAAGGTAAGATTTACTTCGATTAATTTAAAATAAATCAGGATTAATTTAAAATAAATCAGGATTAATTTAATTTGGGCAACAATGTTTATAATTTTTTGAAATATCATTTACTTATTTCATAAAAATACATTAAAACCCTCTTAAATTAATTAAAAAAGGGCTAAACCGGGTTGATTTCGGATTTCCGGGTCAACTCGAACCCGACCTGGTTTTACAAACGGGTTGAAATTCCTAACTTGAACCAGACCCGGTTCAGGTTCGGGTTGACCCAAACTCGAAATTTTTGAATCGGGTTTTCAGGTTGGATCAAATATTGACACCCCTAGGTACATTTGAGATGGCTGAAGTAAAATTAGATAAGAAGTTGCTGTGGAGAAAATTAAAGCACTTAGAGTATTATTATTTTAATAGATTATCTTATAATCCCTCATTTTCTCTCTATCTAGTTGGCCACCCAATAAGTCAATAGTTATGCCCTTAAATACTTTATTTTCCTTAAAAATATTTTTCAATGAATCCCTAGTAACAAATACTATGTGTGCATTTTTTCAATTTGATATATATTTGATGTGCATGTTAGCAAAATCATTTAATTTTAATTTTAAAATATAGAAAATCGAACCGACTAAATTATTTTTCAGATTGACTTGAATTAATGAAATTTTAGTTTGATCAGTTCGGTTGATTTTGGATGAACTAAAATGTAATTAATTTTAATCATAAATTTAATTACTATTATCTTACATAGCATGTAGTAAAAAATGCAAAAGATTTTTTTACTAAAACTGATAATTTTGTCATATAAAATAAATATTATTCAAGTTGATCTATATGTCAAATTTTTATTATTAATTATTTATTTATAATTCATGAATTTTATTGATTTAATATTTGAATAAATTATTAGAATTGATTTTTAGTTTGATAGATTTATATGAGAAAATCAAACAAAAAATGAAAGAAAATCAAAATTTCAATTGATAATTGAACCAAAATTTAAACAATGAAATTGAAACAAGCAAATAAGATCGGTTCAATTAATTTTTTTGGTTCAAATTTATGATGATTGAAAAAATATTTAAAATATTTGGAAGAATTAGAATAAATTGAATGGAAGAGTAGAAATATTGCTCCTAAAAAAGTTATTAAAAAGAAATAAATAGAGCATTAAGATTCATACTAAAATGATGAGCAAAATATATTTCAATTTTATTAGATTTATTTGAGAAGAATATAATATAACATTTAATTTATTATTTATATATTTATTTTTTTGGGAAATATTTATATATTTATATTTAGTTAAAAATAAATTTAAATAAAAAATTATTTTAATAAAATTTGATCATCATATTTTACCTGTTTTTTTTCATAATAAATTATAGCAAATTATTGCCTGATTATAAGAAAATAATAAGACCTAATAATTTCTCGGTATGGAAACGGAAAATCAAGTTCGGTTCTTCGCAGTGTCTTCCCGCGCCTAGGGTTTCGGTAGCCCGACTGAAAAACCTTTCGTACATGGCAGCTTCTTCGCTGTTTGCATCGATATCTACGGGTGGGTGTTCCAATTTTTTGCATTCAAAGAGGACCAGCCCCTTCCCTTCAGTTCGTTTCTCAATGGCTCCTGCGGTCTGTTATTCAAAACAGAGGGATCTCACAGCCAGCAGCAGCTTTGACTGCGATGCAGTGAATGATTCCGCTGGCGAGCAGTCGGCTAGGGAAAACGAGCAGTTTGTGTCTTGGTTTCGGCAGGCCTGGCCGTACATAAGGGGGCATCGGGGGAGTACTTTTGTGGTTGTAATTTCTGGGGAAATTGTGGCAAGTCCTTATTTGGATAGTATTCTCCAGGTGCGAATTCTGTTCATCCATGATGCCTAGTTAACTTAGTTTCAATTTTTTTTTTAATTTTTATAATAGTCTTGATTTATCTTGGTTTAGCTGTTTCTTCTTATGATTTAGTTTTTAAATTTGCAAGTAAAAATAAGTGTGCCCAAGTGCGCCTGGATTTGCTTATTTTTACTTAGAAAATGAATGTATGCTACATTTCAAATCTTAGGAAAGTAAGATGTTACTTCGTGTCAAATTTCTTAGTTCAATTTTTTATTTCTTAACTACACAAACAATAGACCGAAATGATAATATGAATATAAGTACAACGTTTGCAAGTTCTTATTGCAGTGAACTAATGTTCATGATAATTTGAATATCTGTACAACAACCATTCTATATAATTTGAAAAAATAAAAAATACTCAATGAGACTTGGATAATATTTGATGTTCTTTTATGAGGAATATAATAAAGCTTCCACAATAAATTTAAATAAAAAAAGCATTTAAACATTAGGGTTTCAGCTTAATAGTTCAACCAAAAATGCATTTCTTAATTTTTTCATTGAGCGCATAGGACTTTCTATTGTGAGTTTAGATAGTTGCCTTTGACTATAGCTGCTGCACTCTCTTCTTTCCCCCATTAATTCCTCATAGTTGCTGCCCCCACTTCCCTCCCCTATTAATTCTCTAGTGCTTCCGCCCCTTCTCCCCTCCCTTTCCTTTTCCTTAGCCAACAACCCCTCTCCCAAACGGATTTTTATTTGGTCCGGTGCAAGGACCTAGAGGAAGGTTCGGTTTTGCCTAAAAAAGTGCAAATACCGAGTTTTTTGAAAAAATACCGAGTTTTTTGAAAAACTCGGTATTTGCACTTTTTGACCTATTTTTGCCTAAAACCGAACCTTCCTCTACATCCAGTGAAAGGACCTAATAATTGCTCCTCCCAAACAGCCGCCTCCTCTTCACTTTCGGCACGCCAAGCCCGAACTCTCTTCCCCAAACCATGGATAGCCCCGTCATCCATGGATGACCGATCCTGAGCTTGATCACGACTTCATATTTGACGATCAAGGCTTAGTCGACGTTCACTAGTCTCTATTCTTTGACATCGACTTCGAGATCGACCACACAATCAAAGAATATGTGGACCATATTAGCCTCTCTCTTGTAACCACCATTGATCATCGAAGACCTCCTGTCCAATGACAACTCACCTCGAATCCACCCAATGCTTCTTTTCCGGGTAGCTTTATGTTGCTCAAAACCTTAAACGTTTACTTCTTCTTAGTGACATTATTAATATCGTATCATGTTTTCTTCTTCTGAAATTATTCGTTGAGTGTGAGTGAGGGAACTTCACTATGACTTTTATAATTGTTAATTGTGGGATTTATGTGACTTGTGGATAAGTACTTATTGTCTTGGTCATTATTTTAATATTTCCCGCCAATACTTATAAGTGTTTGCTATTACTTTATCAACAATTGAGAAGTTGCTTAAATCGGCCCTTGATCACCATTAATATATATAATTGTGAAGTTTGTCAATTTAGTATTATTCTTAAGCAATTCCTTAATCTAGCTTTTGTTTCACATCACCATGCTTCTTGAAGATTAGTGTAGGCATGCTAGTTGTGAAGATACAAATTCTCTGCTTAGATTTGTATCAAGCATGCCATGATGAAACCTTATTTCACCTTTTCCAATGTTGACCTCTTACAATTATTCCATTACTGAGCATCCATGTAATTGTTTTGCAGGACATTTCACTTCTTCATGGTTTAGGGATCAAATTTGTACTTGTTCCTGGGACCCAACTCCAAATTGATAAACTTTTAGCTGAGAGAGGTCAGTGTGGTTACATTTCTTTAAAGTCAAAATAATATCTATTATATTGTATTTTTTTTATTATTGGTAAATGATGTGTTATTGGCCATTCTTCTGTATATACAAAATTTTTTTTATTTATTTTTTGTCATTTGAATGAGTGAATTGCGCACTCAATGAACATATTTTAACGATGGTAGTATGGGAAGTGCTAGATGGTCAAAATGATCAACGTCTTACCTAGATCAAATTCGTCTTTCATCCAGTGTTAAATTCACTATATAGCAAAATGACTATCGTCAAGCAGCTTTGCTACATAAAATAATATACAACTTCAAATAAAATGCAACAAACAGCCTATTACTGAACAACAAAACAAGAAGTCTGCTTGAGTGTAGTCTTTCAATCAATGTTTGAAATTGCACAATTAGGTGTTGAAGCATTTTTTTCCGTGATGCGAGCTTCATAATTAAAACCATCAAATTAATGATGAGTAAGAAATAGTAAGTAACATACTAAAATTAAAATAAGATTAAAATAAAATCCTAAAAAATAAAAATTCCTATTAAAAGTCGTAGAATGCTACAACCAATGCAAAATGACTAGTCTTTCCAAATCCCAGTTTACCATAAACAAGTATTATAAAATCATAATTTATGAATTTAATATTCCCATAGCTCTCATTTCTTAGAGAATCTTCATTAAAATAATAATTGTAGTTAATTGATTTATCTTCTCCTTCATGCTAAAAATAAATGGGCATCCAACAACAAGAGGAGGGATGTTGAAGGAGAAGTGGAGATGGTGTAGCAGCAACAATGACATAGCAGATTGGCTATGGGCGTGAGGATTTTACAATGTGTGATTGTGAGTGAGGTTGTGCGATTTTGCTCAAATTTGATTCGAGTCAGGTATAATAAATAAGTTTAATTATATATACAGAGTTTATAAATTAAAATTATAAAATTACTTAAATCCTAATTTTAGAGTCTTACATCTCCTTAAAATTGCACTGAGGTGTGTTTTGAGGCACCCTACCTCAACTGAAGCGTAAACTTCATCCGGCAAACATGCCTCATACGCCTCATTGCCTTCTTTTTAATTTGCATCGAGAAACTTTGAGGTAGGCCTCTAATTGTGCAAATTTAATTCATACTGTCAATATAAACAATGACTTGCGTTTGTATCGTGCATCCCTTCCACATCTTTTTCATGAAAGATCAAGTAATGCCATCATCCTAGGAGATCATATGCAGCCTAGTGCTTTTTTTTAATTTTCGTTTCCTATGAATGACTAGACCTGTCAAAACGTTAATAAAGATGGACGTCCGTAAGTGGGGAAATGTAGGGGATCGGGATCAAAAGAAATCCTGAGAATTTTCAGTTAATGGAACATCATGCTCTTTCTGTATGACCTTTATCCATCCAGGTACCCTACAATTTTTGCAGGATAGTAAACACATTGACAATCAATCCTAATTACTGTTTACATTTTTTTATACTTTTTCTGAGCATAGCCTAAAATATCTGATTAATTTAACTGAGAAACTGGTTGCACAACATTCTGCTCATCTGCATCTGGAAAAGAAATGATCAACAAAACTCTCCAACGTATTATTTCCATCTCCTCCTCATTCATTGGCTTGCTACAATGCATTCTTTATCCTAAGCTCGAAGAAAAAGCCATAGAGAACCATTTACACAGCTTGGATGACCAATCCATTGGTTAGTTGAGAACTTAGTGAAGGCATCATTTCACACAAGGGATATTGGTGGTAAATGAAGCACTTAAAACTTACTGTGACTTCGATGCTCCTCCAGAAGACGCGCAAATTTCTTGTTGATCCAACATCTTTGGCAATGAGATCTCTTGAAATATGTAAATTTAAGTTAATATGTGGTATACTAGTTTTAGAGTGAAGGCTCTATTACCATTGACCTAAAAGAGATTTATTCATGTCCTTTATTAAGCTCCTAGTATTTCAAATTCTTTGGCCTTAAGCCACCTCTGCCCTGTTTACTACGAGGCAGTCACTTCTTTTTATGCTTCCCTTCCAGGGAAGTTTAATTTGATTTCTTCCTTTTTCGATACTCAAGAAAACATGAAAGTTTCTTGTTGATCCAACATCTTTGGAGATGAGATCTCTTGAAATATGTAAATTTAAGTTAATCTGTGGTATACTAGGTTTAGAGTGAAGCCTCTATTACCATTGAGCTAAAAGAGTTGTTCATGTCCTTTATTAAGCACCTAGTCTTTCAAATTCTTTGGCCTTAAGCCATCTCTGCCCCGTTAACTACGAGAAAGACACTTTTTTTATGCTTCCTTTCCAGGGAAATTTAATTTGATTTCTTCCTTTTCCCCCCTCATTAAGCTTCTTTCTTCAGCGTCTAATGCAGTTGTTTTCTCTGGTGATTTTCATCTTCACAACCTGCCTTTATTATATTGTGTTTAATGAAGGCCCATTTGTAAAAAAAAATTATGATTGCATTTATATATTTTGATTATGTGAGTTATATGTTCATCTGGAAGGATCACGTTGGCTACAAAATGTGGACTATAACTGGTTTTTGCATGGAATATCTGTTGAGATGTCTCATTATCGTATTGCAGTTCACCTTATATTCTTGCAGGAAATAAGGCCACGTATGTTGGTCGGTACCGTATAACAGATTCTGATTCATTGGAGGCAGCAATGGAGGCTGCTGGAAGAATTCGCCTTACAATAGAAGCAAAGCTTTCTCCTGGGCCACCCCTATTAAATCTTCGTCGACATGGTGATAACAGTCGTTGGCATGAAGTGGGTGTCAGTGTTGCTAGTGGGAACTTTCTTGCAGCCAAGGTGAATTGTTTTTTATACTTGAAAAATATAATTCAAACTCTTATTTATGTTGCTAAATACAGTTTTGACATTCATGTTCAATTTTTTTAATCTTCACCAAAGTTTCTTCCACTATAACATCTAAGCTGGCCTTAACATTTGTCTAAGAAAATTAACAAGCTTATCTCTTGTGCAAGTTTAGTGTACAAACTATCTTTATAAGAATATTGCTCTGCATAAAGTCTAATAAACTTCAGCATAAAAATCTAATAATAGCCATAAAGCATTGCAAGTCTCATCAAGACACAATGGAAAAAAATGATTCATGTAGTCGACCCCACATAGTTGGATAAAGATTTGATGTTGTTGTTGTATAAAAGTCTAATAACCATCCATATCAAATGCTCTCTGTTTTTCTTATTGCACTTTCCTAAATCTATAGCGTCTTAATTATATTTCCTTGTCTTTTCTTCTATTCGAAGGGGAAATGTGTATATTGATGCATTTATCGGTTTGAATTCTCTTAGACCCCGGCTTTTCTTGGATTATGTTCCCTTATTATGTTGAAGCTTCACAAATAGTGCAACCTTGCAGTGGAAATTATAACCTGAAACACTTATTCACGCTTTCAAGTGGGTTTCATAGCTTTTTAAATGTTCTTTTGAAACTATTTTGTGGTATGGATCCCAATGGAGGATGCTGGCACAAATAGGTGTCAATTGGCATGTAGCGACAGAAGCATTGGTTGTATAGAAAACTACAAACCTGTGGGAGTCATCCAATAGTTTGTTTCTTTACCCTGAATACTGCATTTTTTTCAAAAATTGTGTCAATTTACTAATTTTTAATATGATGCATGATTACTTGCATGCATACATGAATACATAAATACACAAATATTGGGTCACCGACTGGCGGTGAAGTGGAGTTTTCAATACCAAACACCTACAGTGTCTGCCATTGCAGTTGCCCCTCATTTCAACGAGGCCGCTGCTGCCTAACTTGCCATGCACTGCTGCTGATCTGTGGGCTCCATCTAGCCACTGTATGATGACACATCACTTATGTGGAAAGTATTAATGAATTCAAATTTGAAAATTATTCTTGATTACTTTCAAATCTAATTCATTTAAAAATTGCAAAATTAGAGTCAGCATGAATGTTATAAAAGAAAAATAATATACTAGAACAAATCATCTGTAAATGAACTAATAATTGAATAAAGTCAACAAACTGGAATACCTTGGGCATTCAAATTTCCTCTCTTTGGTAGTAGGTATAAATTCAATTTTCTCTCCAAAAGTAGGTTAAGTTATATTCAATGCTGTTCAAGCATTTTTTCATAAGAGAGAATAAAGGGGCTTTAATTGGTCTTAAAAATATCCATATTAGAAATATTTGCATTTAAGAAAATCGTTGACAAGAAAGAAACTAAAAAAACTTATTCATATAAAAAACTTATTCAGTACCACTTTGTTGCAATAACATTTTCAAAATTAAAGCTTAAATAATTTTTAAAAGAATGAATAATGGGAAGAGGAAATATCTAATTTCTATGACACCTCATTACAAGAGGAGTTGACAGGCATTTAATTGATGGCAAGGCACTCATTGGATATTCAACACCAGGCTTGGGAGGAAATCGGGCAAAATTCCTAATCTCAATGTGATATCCTGATAGGAAACACTTGGATTTCCAAGTGTTTCTTACCCAAAACCAAGAAGAACCAATGCCAAACTGCTGTCCACAGTGGAAATCAGCCAGGAAATAGGGAAAGACAGGAAGAAAACGCGAGAAATCTGAGAAGAAATTGCACAAAACTATTGTATTTCAATAGTAGAAGCAAAAACCATAAGAAAGATACAATGTTCTTCGGTTCGAGAGGAAGAACAACTCTCCAACAATCTCCGGCAACGCCAAGAGCCCAAACAAGAAACCCTAGAACTCCAAGAGAATACAAATTCAAGATAATCCCTCATTCACACCCAAAACCCCTAATTAACCATAAAGGAGTTTTACAAAATGTCTAAACAGCCCCTCGCATTCAAAATTTCCCTCCCAAAAATCTTCCCTGGCCCCCGCTCGGTTCCGCCTCCCGCTCGCGGTTCCGTCGCGAGTAAACATGGACCGGTCCAGGTTGGACCGGTCCAGCTGGCCCATCCTGGGCCGGCGTAACATTACCGCCCTCCCAAAGAATCACCTTGTCCTCAAGGTGAAAATCAGGAAACTGCTGTTTCGTCCTCTCATATGGTTCCCACGTGGCCTCGTAGTCAGGAAGGTTCTTCCACTGGATCAACACTTCCTTAGTTTTATCTTCTTTCTGGCGCACCCCTTTTAGCTCCATAGGTTCTAAAATCACCTCTAAGTCCTCAGTCAGGGTTGCTGGTAGCTCAGAATTGGTGGTGTACTCCCAATGGCCTTTCTCAATTGTGACACGTGAAAAACTGGATGTATAGTTGCCGATGGAGGTAGTTTCAATCTGTATGCTACTGACCCAATCTTCTCCAGCACTTCATATGGCCCAAAGTACCTTGGAGCCAGCTTTTCATTCCTCCTGTTGGCAACTGTCTTCTGTCTATATGGTCGGAGCTTCAGAAACACCCTCTCCCCTGCTGCAAACTGTATGTCCTTCCTATGCCCATCCGCTTGCTTCTTCATAATTTGCTGTGCTCTCAGTAGATGCCTCTTTAGCTCTTCAAGTACTCGATCTCTCTCCTCTAAGTACTCTTCTACTGACGACACAGGAGTGCTGCTACTCCCAAAATGCACCAAGTGTGGAGGATCCCTTCCGTACAGTACCTTGAATGGCGTCATCTGTGAAGCTGAGTGAAAAGAGGTGTTGTACCAGTATTCTGCCCAGGATAGCCATTTGGCCCAAAGCTTAGGTGTCTCCGACACAAAACATCTCAAGTAGGTTTCCAAACTCCTGTTAACCACCTCCCGTTTGGCCACTGTCTGTGGGTGATAAAAGCGGTGCTCCCTTTCAATAACTGTTCCTATGTAACCTGAACAGCTCCCTCCAAAAGTAACTGTAGGAACACCTTGTCTTCTACTCGGACACTATTGGCCTCTGGTATCCCATAC